ATCCAAACTGTTGTTTGAACGGGATAACACTTTGCTCTTTGTTTGCCTCCATTTTACTATCAAACCTCGCTAAATTATAGGCCTACTGTCAAATTACGGAATAGGCTTGCACGTAATTGACAAAAATCAATTCCGTAATTACGGCAAAATCAATTACGTAATGACCCCGTAATTGCGATATTTTTCCACGCATTTAAATCTATCATAACAACCAATTGAATCCACTTCTTTTCCGAATGGGACATTGAAGTTGGGTTTTCATATTCTTGGCAGTACTACACGCCGTCGACATATGTTAAAGACAACTATCAAGGAGTGAATTCAAAAAAATTTTATTCTGATTTTTATCTTTTGTGTTAGCTTTGATTTTCCTTTATCACCTTCGCAAATTAACCGTCCCATTTTTATGCGATCAATTTTATTTTATCATTACCGACACGGGTATACGGATATTTATGGAAACGATAGTTTTTTAAAACCACCTTAATACTGAATAAAAATTACGGGTTTCTAATTTATTAACCAACGACGAGCGTATTCACTCGTTTGATTATACTTGCGATTTCCTCGCGACGAAGACTTGTTTTTGCAGCGTCTTCTGCATTATCCGACATTACTGCCTTGTTAAGCATTTTATAATAATAATTATTGATGTCGACTTATTGACGATATTCCGATTACCATGCTTCATTTTACATTTAATCATCTCGCGGACTGAATGTTTATAACATTATTTGCGATAAATTTAGATCAAATATTATTTATTTGCGTATAATTTAAATACCGAACTTATATGATATGCCTTCTCCGAAAATACAAAGTTATATCGCAAAACAATGCATTTTGTGACATTTATTTTACACTCACGACATTTATTTGCTAACTCAAGTCGGCGATCCTATCGGCCAAGATTGACACAAGTTTGGTCGAGTGCCGGTGGTATTCAAGTCGACGATAAATCAAAATAAGTTGGCGCATTTGGTAAGACAGTTAATCATATATGGCCGAAATATTGAGAGGAATTGTGAAAAACATCATGCGGACTGATATATAACATCATCCGGACTGATATATAACGATAAAACCGTTAACAGAACATCAAGATTTTGTAATAGAAAATGGATCTCGCACAGAATAAACACACTGGCTCATATTTGATTATATATGATAGCAGTTAAATTTTTTGCGGTCCGCGAGGAATCCGTCGTTTTGCTGTTTCTCTGCCGTCTCAATCGCTTTACCGATGCCGAGAAGACGAAGTTGCGTTGGTTCATTACGCAATCTCTCTTTTGTCGTCATATTGCTATTTGATAAGCGAGACATTAATTATCACGGCGAGGTATTGGCGCGAGTGATCAATCGCTCTTTTCGCTTATTTGGTTCCAATTCGTCGCGAAAGCTCTTCGTTAAATTTCACAAGATCGTCGTGTTGAAAGGTTATGGATATTTTCCTGTTTATACCCCAAGTCTGAAATAAAACATCCAAAAACAGTATGATATTCCATGTTCATATATCAAGTGTTGATATTAACAATAAAGAATGGTTAAGCATTGCTAATCCACACTTGGTGGGGAATTCCCACTATTTAAACGCGTGACTATAAAATAGAATAAAATAGAAACGGAACATATATACCATAAGTAACGGAAAACTGGAACAAGTAAATAATAAATAAAAGTAAAATGGATACAAATGTTTGATAGACCATGTTTGAAAGATTGATCTCCTGCGTTCATTAGTCATTTCACCCGAAGAAGTTGAAACCGGGCGTGTTAGCGTCCATCGGTCTTAACACAATTCTTCCCCCTATCTACGGTTATTATGTACATTGGCCATGGCCAAGCTAGATAAGATGCGAGAGAAGTTGAAACCAGGTGTGTTGGCGTCAATCGGTCTCAACGCAATTCTATCCCTTATCTACGGTTAAGTTACGGGAGAAGTTAAAACCAGGTGTGTTGGCGTCAAACGGCCCTACTCAGTTCTTCCCCCTTAACTACGTTAATAATTTACATTGGCCATGCCAGAGAAGTTGATAATAGGTTAGTGAATGGCAACGCGTCATGCCCTCCTTCACCTACGTAGCAAGAAAGGTAAAAGAGAGAAAAACGGCTGCGAATACCGGAACTCTAACTTCTACTTGTTGAGCTTTCATTTTTCGCAATCGACGAAATTGACTGCTTTGAAGAAAGCTCGTTCCAATGCAATAATTACGACTTTACGTAATTCGTAACTTCCCTTCCGTAACTCAAAATAATTACGTAATTACGTAAATCCGTAAATTACGTGCAAGCCTATTACGGAACGTGTGAACTGCGAAGTTCTCAATCAGCTACCGTACTATGAGCCATCAAACTCCTTCGTTATGACGTTAGGCGCAGTTATGAGCAGGGTTACCAGACCCCAGCGATCAAAAAAAAGCCAAATCAAGACATAAAAAAAGCCAACAATTTTACTAAGTACAAAAGCCCCATGATTTGTCAGATTTTAAGCCCTTGGCAACGTACTGATGATGATGTAGAGCCATCAGTTCATTCAGTGAGGCACACGAATTGAAAGTAAATTTCCTATAGAACTGTAGAAAGTAAAATAAATATCAAACGGACAGCATTATTTTACCATTCTGTCAGTATGTAATATACCTACATGTTTCTACCCAAACTTGTGATATACCTTAAAAAATTCTTCCTATATCGTAATTTACGATTGAAAATTTTTTCACTTTTAAAATTTATAAACCATCAATTTTATTAAAAAATTATTTAACCCCCTGCCGCTCACTGGTGGACCACTGATATCTAATTCAGTAATTTTAGCGTAGTTAATCACATGGTTACTGCAATTGCAGAATTAAACTAAAGCTCACATAAACCATATCAGGCATAATGAAAATTAAGTTATACAACTATTTTATTTTTTGGAAACAGAACGTAAAACTGACAAGTAACACGCAAAACTATAAAAACGAGGCAATGTTTACAACCCTGCTTGAACATCTGTCTGAGCAGCTGCAGAAACTGCAATTATTTCTTATTGGGTATGGTTAAGAGTTAATGTAACAAACAAGGAAATCTATGCTCCAGGAAATCCTAATGTTAATTAAGTAGCTAATAAGTACAAGTAATAGACTATTGTTCAGTAGACACTATAATAAACTTGAAAAAAGCCAAAAAAACGCCAAAAAGCCAAACGGAAATTCTGACGCCAAACGCGTTTGAAAAAAGCAAAAAATGGCAAATTTGGCGTTAAAAAAGCCAATATGGCAACCCTGGTTATGAGGTCATAGTTAAAGAACATTCAGCCGTTCGAGGCCTCAACTGGGCAGATGACCTCTTGCCAAGTTTGGTTATTAGCATTGAGGTGTATATAACACCTCAATGGTTATTAGGCAAATACCAGTACTACGAATCAATAAGAGATAAGAAGAAATCATAAAATTAAAGGATTTCAATACTTTGTGTTTTGCAATTTGCTCTTAATGCATTTATATTGGAAAATATTTGGCGGACGGCAGCAAACTTGCCACGGACCGGCGGTTGAGAACCACTGATATAGAGTATATTCGACTCATACCATACCAGTAAAGTAAACAATCGTATACCATTTGTTTTTTGTGTACCCGGGATCTGAATTGGTAAACAGTATTCCCCGTTGAATAACACTGATTAAAAAGTAAAACCTTTTTAATGTTTCCTGATATGCTCTGAAATATTTTTGTACATATAGAATATGTAGTTCTGTATAGTTCATTTTGTCAATGATATGATATACTTATATTAATGTTTTGTGACAATGAAATTGCTAGAATGTCTAATTTCATCTTTGGATGCCAATATTTTGCAATTTAATTAAACAATACCTCGTCTTACCAATGGACCTCTCCCCGAGCATCGACTTCCTTGTTTACATCGTGACCTTGGCCAATCAGCAAGATGCAAAAAGTGACGTAACAATGCTCCCTTTTCGCTTCCACTCAGACAGATTTTCAAGCCTGGTCGTAAACATTATCTCGTTTTCGCGTTTTTGAACTCTATTCGTCAGTTTTCAGTTGTGTTTCAGAAACTTAAATATAAATCAGATAATTCAATGATCACTCTGTCTTCCTAGGAGTTTTAATTTAATTGCAGTAAAAAAAAATTAGTGTAGAAATAGCTGTGATAGACCAGGCTAAAATTCTTTACCGGTACTTTTAAAAAACAGATTGTTGTATGCGATGAATCATAAGGATGGTTTGCAACACATACCCCATTTTACAGGCGCCAACTCGCAAAAGCGCTCTTAAAATAGCCCTGAAAATGTTGCAATGGTAAAGTATAGGAAGAATTTTTCGGGGGTCAAAGGTCGGGGAAAGGTCCATTCTGTTTGAATAGTCTTGGCCGTTCCGGTGATTAGAGTGGCCGCGTTTGTCCGGGAAAATCAAAACAGTCTCACTCAACAATTCGGTCGTCGGGCTCCAAGCTAAGACTGACTAGGGTACGTGGTAAGTTAGGATTCGCGGCACATACCGGTAGTCTACACCAGGGGTGTAGAGTTCGTGTGTACTCGGGGGCCGCATTGTATATTGGGAATTGTGCCAAGGGCCGAAAACAGTTTTTGATAATGTATACTTTGAGCATATTTTTAGATAGATGGATTTTATGATACATACGGTAGCCTATCTGCATATTGGGATGTAGCCTAATTAAACAGCCAAATAGAGTTTTGCTATTTTCTTAAATTTCAAATGGCATTTTCATATTAATTTCTTGCATTTCACTATTACTGTATTATTGCAATTTACTTTATTTATTACAAAAAATCATAAATTTTTATATAGACTACGACTATCCAAAACATGCATACAATAAAAATGACTTAATCTTAATATATAGACCTGAAATTTACAAAAATACAGTACATAATAAACAGCTTACTAATATCAGGCTGAAATGATTTTACAGTAGGCTACCAATTCTTATTAATGAGGTCACATGATCATCGGTTAATTTGGATCGTTGAAAATGTTTGATAAAATGTTCCTAATTTCAGAAATTTTTCTCTTATTTGTAACTTAGCATCACAAGCTCGAATAAAGACCGCAAGTTGTGCAGTGCCTGATATATCACACAATTCATCAATTGAAAAGAAAAAATAGTTCAAGTCAGCAGAGGCAAATTATATTTGTTCTTTTAAATTTGCGGACATCTTATCAATTCTAGTAGCAAATGTATTTCTTGTCAACGATAAATTTTTGAGAAGTTCCAACTGTTTTTACAAGACAGGTTTGCTGCTGATTTAGCTGTGCCTTCAGCTGCAACAGTTTCATGTTTCGAAGTTGATCTTTAAATTTGTCATATTGACTGGATGACAGTTCGTATAGTTTGAAGGGCCTTATCACGTCGTGGTGACATAATTTTTGGATGACGCAGTCACGTGGGGGTTAGTATGCTCCGCCAACTAGAAGTACTTGAGGTACGAAACTACACTAGACCCCATTGAGTTAGCAGACCAACATAATGTGTATTTCGCATGCCTGCCAGAAGTTATCGAACAGCAATCATATATACTTCAGCCTCTCGACTGCTCATTTTTTCCCCTAAAGCGAAATAGAGCAAAATACTAGCCTAATGGCGGTCATGAACACGAATTTGTGGTTGTCCGGAGAAACATTTTCCACTTTCACTGCACCAGCTTTAAATCCTTGTTAACAGCTGCACAAAATCTTGAATCGGGATGTCAAGTTTGTGAGATTCACCCATCTAACCCCTCTGCTGTGTTGCGTAAGCCCTGAGCAACTGACCAGCGATTACGATATGTCTTACTCCTCTTGCACAGGGGTGCATGGTAAGCATACCATGCCATATATGTAACGCAATATCGCTAAGTTAATGATTAGCACAGTAGTACGATGCTCCACATCCAGACATCGCCGTCTGTGTCCTTTCCGAAGTGGTTTTTAATATGTTTCTGTTTCCAGTTATTGGTCTATATATGTGTAGAATCTGATACTTTGAATTAAACATGCCTCCAACTCAACAGGCTTCACTGAATAAAATAACGCTAAAAGGATCAGCAGCAATTGTTTCCGAATTTTTCTGTGAGTTTTTCATGCTAATTGATTCATGCTGATTGATTCATGCTGTTATTACTATATCCTAGCGACCTAGATAAATGGTTACACACAGCATTTTCAGTTTATGATATGCTAGACTTGACTTTCAGGCTTGAGGTCAGCACCATGCTGTAGTGCATGAAGCACAGTAAGCTTGTATTTGATTGGATTTTATAGAATGTACAGTAGTCTTTTTTTTTCAGTACATGGTGCCATGATGTTTACAGATTTACAATAGCAGAATAAAAGCGATCAAGCTTGGTTTTTGATATAGCCTATTGGTTATTATGATGGTACCCCTTCGAATAATGATTTGGCTCTCTGAATTTTCTACCGTATTGCATGCTCTATTTTGATTATAATTCAGACTATGGAATCAACAGCATTTTATATCAACGTGGAATATATCCAGCGGAAATGTTTACCAGAGAGAAAAAATATGGACTGACCATACTTGTTTGCACAGATGACAAGATTAAAGAATATTTGGAGGAAAATGTTTGTCCACAATTAACTGGTGATCTCCAAATTCAATTTTGAAATCAACTTCTGATTCATTTTTCATGTTCGCTAACTATTATAATCAGATTTGTGATCTAATAAGGAAATTTTTATTACTTACATCATCTGATATCTTTAGACTTTAATAGAAGACAATAATTGACTAGTCACGTTTGATAGTCGTGCCTTATGGAAATTAACCTTCCTTTTAGTGCCATACTTTTGCAACATAAATAATAGCATTTCAAATCCTAGGTGAGAAAATTGGAATCTGAGAATTGTGATAGTATTTATTTTGTTACCATTGTCATGTAAATTTCTTCAATTGTTGTCCAATTTCATCTCAATGATCTTTCAAAATATTATGCTAGGTAGCCTATATGTAACAAATTTCTTGTTTCCTGTTCTCAAAAGTTGTTTCATTGTTACTCAAAGCCAAGCTATGCTCGATATATGCCTGGGGCCATAGCCAGGGATGGCCAATACCGAATAGTTCACTATTTCGAATACATTCGAAATTATTTTTTTCGAATATGAAATTTCGAATACTTCGAAAAGAAAATTCACTAATTGAAGCTTATCTAAATGTATGTAGGAATTTCCATACAATAAGCAATGGAATAACTGCTATCTACAAGTTACAACCTAGTTATATTACCAGGCATCTCATATTTGAAGATTATTGCAGTATATATTTTATATATCTTGAGTCATGTTAACAGAATTAAATTAATACCGCAATAGTGGTATCGGTGATGGATTTGAATATTTGACCAACACAAAATCATCCTAGTAAAACGCCCATACTTTTAAATATCAACCATTATCCAAATTATTTGCCAAAAAGCGGGATAAAGTATGAGTTATTTTTCCTACTTGTGACAATTTTTTATACGAATCAAAAATTTTTTATATACGGAAACTTTACCACACATTTTAAGTCCGCAGATCGCCGTTGTATGTTTGAGTAATAATACTTTTATTATTTTATAAAAATGAAAATAAGAAGCAAAAACTATTCATAATCGGGTAGTTTACCACACATTCTAAGTCCACAGATCGCCGTTGTATTTTGTAAATACAAAAATAGGAATCAAAAATTAATATTAATCGCGAGTTTGCCACACAATTTATGTCCACAAATTGCCGTGATATTGTGCCGAATATAATTAGTTTTTGATTCTTATTTTCGTACTCGCGAAAAAATTGTCACAAGTCGGAGAAAGAATTTATACTTTATTCCGCTTTTTGGGAACCAATTTGGATAATGGTTGCCATTGGTTTGTATTTAAAGGTATGGACTTTTTACTAGGATGATTTTGTGCTGCGTAAAATATTCGAATCCATGACTGATACCACTATTTAAAATGCCTTGCCGTGTTAATTTAATTCTATTATCATAACTCAAATGTTGGTAAATCGGGCAGTTTACCACACATTTTAAGGCCACAGATCGCCGTTGCATTTTAGAATTATAATAGTTTTATTATTTTGTAAATACGAATCCAAAATTAAATATAATTGGGCAGTTTACCACGTATTTCATGTCCACAAATACCCGTGGTATTTGGTATTAATACTTTCATTATTTTCTCAATATGAAAATAGGAATCAATATTTAATAATATCGGTCAGTTTACCACACATTTTATGTCCACAGATTGTCCATACAACCACGAGTTACGTTGAACGGAATTAAATTAATACGACATGACATTTTAAATGCTGGTACCAGTCATGGATTGGATTATTTTGCGCAACAAAAAATCATCCTGGTAAAGGATCGATACTTTTAATTATGTTATCAAAATTATTTGCCAGAAATTATTTTCTAATAAATCAACTTGTTTTTCAAACTTGTGCCAATTAATTGGATATCGTAACAATGACGGCTATAAATATCGTATTACCCGGCTAATAAGTCCACATGGCAAATAGGACGATGTCTATTTTTAGCACTCAAAAAAGGGTTTTTTCCATATAGGCCTCCAATAAGACTGGTACAAAAATTGTGTCCCTGTGATATGCGCTAATAATTTTATATGTTTAGAACCAGATCATGTTAGTTTGGTAGAATCATACTCACAGAATTAACTATTTTTAACAATTGAGCGGTAAATTTAAGTTGTAAAGCGGCAATCATTTTGGACAACCTATTAACCCGAATGTTGAAATAATTTTGGAATGTGAAAAGTACTACACTGTACGTCCACGGGTTATTTCACAGCTGTGTTTTCCTGTCCCTGTCGTGTTCTGCTGAATCGGAAAAACGAAAGGGTCACAAATCACTTTCACTCGGTGGCCATGTTTCTCTTTAATGTAACGATAACCGGCCTGCGATTAAATATCATGATAGGCAGACCCTAAGACACAAATCATGCTTGAGAAGACTAATAAGCAGGCCACATAGAAATAAAATAAACATACTTTCTCAATTAGACGCCCCAAAAAAAAAATCAGGCCGAAAAATTGGGCCTAGAAAAGCTGTTATTGTCAGTTTTTCGACGTGATCGAAATGAATTTGTAAATTAAAAGCCTCGTAGACGAATGTCGGCAATGTCCACCCACGCAAACGTGCAAATGTGTCGCAACACTATGCGACGTACGATCGCACAGAATATAAACAACATCAAAGTGCCGATTCTATTTCATCGTCATTACAATACGTGAGACAGCGTAAAAAGTCGTTTGAAGATTCCCGTAAAACGAAACACCACGTTTACGGCGAAAAGTGGCTACTATTCGGAATTATTCGAAAATCAGCCGAAAAGTTATTCGAATACTATGATATTCGAATATATTCGAATATTCGATTCGTTTTGGACAACCCTGGCCATAGCCCATAAGTGACAATATACTCTGGTATTTAATTTTGTTCTTTAACAAAATCTCTTTGAAATGTAGTTTGAATTACCTTATGAAACTTTTCGTGTTATAGTTATTTGAGAATCCTAAAATTACTGAGATTATCTGATGGAAATCTGGGAAAAAGAATGCTATTCTGGCGAACCCCATGTCATATATTGCTTGGGATTTGACATATGATAACTTTTATGATAATATTTTATGCACAGAATGGTTAGAACAAGGTGTTGTCAACAGGCTTGTTGTCGTTATAAAAGATGTTGACACAAAGGAACCACTTGAAAGATGGCAGTTTGAAATAGATTGTGACAAGACAGTAACTTCTAAAGATGGAGAAAAGAATCACAAGTAGGTCATATATTGATTTTATTTATACTTATGGCCCTATTGCTTCAAAAAGATGTAGACCCCATTTCAATGCTTCAAGCCCTTTCATCTTTCAAGACTCTGACTTTCAACCATTTTTATTCCAAATCAGATAAAAAAATCATGGAAACATTCAAATCATCCAACAGACATTTTTGTGTACATTCCATAGAGATGAAATATCATAAAATGAATGCATACTCAATGTCCCGCTCCCAACAACAATGTTTCAGAGTCGTTACAAGCATTTTCAATGTCCCGCTCCCAACAACATTGTTTCAGAGTCGTTACAAAATTTTACAAATGTAGGAGTTGCCATTTTAAATTCTGTTCATCAATTAGATGTGTTTGCAGGATAATATTCATATGCCGGTGAGCCAGTGTTTAAAATACAGTGATTCAGTATGTTTTCACTTTTGTTGAAATTCAGAGAACTCATAGTAGTTGGAAAATTCAAGCATTTAAAAATGTTATTTTGAGATTTATATCAAAACAGCAGTATTATATAGTCATAGATACCATCAGGTTTCAATTTTCAAATATCAATTTATTCATTGCATTGATTTAGAACCAAGGAAATTGCAGAGATTCATAAAGAAATATGTGCTGTAATCAGACAAATAACAGCTACGGTTACATTCTTGCCTCTCTTGGAAACTGCCTGTAAGTTTGGTTTGATTATCTCTTCAATATTCACATCAACATAATTGGGCTCAACATACTAACCATGGAAACCAGTGGTTCCCACATTTTTGATACATCCTTCCTTTGCCTCTTTTTAAATTCTTCATTAGTCACTGGCTAGTGATAGACGCATTACCAGTAATAATACTACATGCAATTGCTAGATAAAATCTTAAATTGCAATACAAAACAGGTTCTTTCGATGTTCTGTTTTACACAAGTCATGATGCTGAAAATATATCACCAAAGTTGGAGGAAAGCAGTGCTTTCTTGATCACCGACTCTCAAGAAGTGAAACTGAGATCATTCAACACTACAGTTCATAAAGTTGAGGGGGCTGTGTCATACAAGTTTAATACCATCCGATGAAAATGCTAATACCAATTTTTTAAAAAACAGTGAAGAAACTATTGCTGCGCTCAACCTCCTACTGAAATTATGGAACAATTTTGTCCATTTCCCTGTTGGTGTGACCAGTTGCGCGGCCAGGGGGTTCCGACAGGGGGACAGATTAAGAACGCTTTCATGGACATCGTAAATCGCAAAATTTATTGTACCTACCGCACACATTATAATTGAATGAATAGCCATGCCGTCACGTAAATCGAAACAGTCAATAGTGCGCTCGATGTACCAATATTATCAATTCCACTACCGACGGTCCCCTACACGCTTTTTTCTGAAATATGATAATATACAAGATAATTATTGTAATGTATATTCATTATTCAATCAATATTGTGCTAAATTAACCTTACTCCGTGGAATTTTATCGGTGATACAGGGATTGATCAAATTTGCAAAAATACGAAGCAGAACAAGATATAATCGGGCAATGTACCCCACATTTTTATCCGGGGATAGCCGTGGTATATTTATGGTAGTAATGTATTATATTTTTCGACGCGACCGCAGTTTGAATTAACACAATTAAATTAATACAGCTAGACATTTTGAATTTGCCCGTATCGGGCATGTATTGGTCAACACGCGCAACAAGAAAATCCGGCTATGGCAATAAACGTAGTCACGGCGACCGCTCCAGAAGCTGTTTTTCGAGGCGATGAATATGTATTTTTGATATACTATTTATGTATTTTTATTGTACTGAATTAAATTGTACTCTGGGAATTTACAATAAATCTTGGATTATTTCTAACGGCGATTGTCAGATCGCAAAAATACATATTCCGGCAGTTTTCCTCACATTTTAGTGTTTGCAGATTGCCAGTTACACTGAACACAATTAAATTAATATAGAATTACATTTTAAATTCTCGTCGTATGCGTCTTTGATTGAATATTTTATGCGAGAGAAAAATCATTATACCTGAAAAAGTCTGCTCTTTTAACGAGCGCTGAATTCAAGCAGCAATTGCATGGAAATTTAAGATTTTGAAACTAACTGGATGTGACCTCCTTGTAATGCTACAAACATAATTTGTAAATCGATTCCATAATTGTTGCCTTTCAATAGCATTCAATAACTTCTTAGCCAGACAAAGCAGTGTTCACAATTATAACGCTACATCAGCAGACGATCGAATCCTTGTCGAATATTTGTAACGATTAGACTCTCAATGCTCTTTGTGTCTGTATTCATACAACCGCCTAAAAAAGAACAAAAAAAGTTACTGATAACCATTCTAATGACCTAGTAAATAATGTATACTGATACTAGTTGAAATTTATGTAATTATTATATTACTGGTTCACTAATTTTCTTAATTTCATTTCGGTTGTCTCCTTTTATGACAAATGATTATTATTGTATTTCTTGTCCTCCACATAGAACTCTGACTTTGAAACTTTGTCCTGAGCAAGACATGTTATCTGTATGTTCAAGAGCAATTGGCCTAATGTCCATACCGTCATCCAACTTTCACCATTTGATCTAATTGAATGGCAGAGCTGGAAACGAGGTCAGTGGTTCCTAAGATTTTTGTTTGCGCGCACTAAATTATCAGAAAAAAAATTCAAGGTGCACTTACACGAAAAAAATTTCTGTCTTCAAATAAAACTCAATTTTGTAATCAATGATGTGTACTTTGTTATGCTTTTTTAAAGTTTGTAAACAGGCCTAAAGAATATATATAGGCAATGTCAACTCTTTTCCCTCATCACTGCCTGATAGTCCTCCGAAATACTAAAAAAAACTCCCATGTTCGCTAAACTAGGTTCAGCAAGTAAAGAAAACAGCAGCAAGTTTTGTCTTCCTCTGTTGTTACGTAGCAACAGAGGCAGACACTACCTAATAGAGATGTACCGATAACACTCTTCTCGTCGACACTAACGAAAAAAACACCGATATTCAAAAGACGACATTCCGATACAATGTAATTAAGGGTACAAGACAGACAGGTTGAAACAATAGTCTGTGAGCATTATTCATAGTGTGCATTATTTCAGATTGAAAAACATGTATTCATTTCCATACAATGAGAAGCATCACCCTCATGTTATTTTGATAACGTCATCGCGCACAATAAACGAGTCCCATACAGCCCACAGAATTTTTGAAATAAAAAATATTAGGTAGCTTTTCATCGAAAAATATAATCTTTCACCCCTGATAATTTCAAGGCAATTGGTCCAGGAGTTGATGAGAAACGCGATATTTTAGAACGAAATAAACAAAAAAATACTAACAAGATTAAAAATCGATGTATATGTACACTTTGTGGAAACGGAGAAACTGTGTAAGCTACACCATAGGGCAGGGGTCGGGAACCTGTGGCCCACGGGCCCCATTCGGCCCGCGACGCTTCACTGAATTATAGTAACAAAACAGTTGTTTTGACGATTATAATCTTTACGCAACAGAATTTATTGTGAGACACGTGTAGTCTAAACTAAAGTATAATATAACCTAACAAGTATATAATTCACAATTACTCGTTGGATGAGCCTTATATTTAGACAAATGGCAACAAAACGCAAAATAGTGGATGCTAAGTGCAATTGGTTTAATGGCGCAGAAAATAGTCAAATAGTCAGTCTTCGCGCGCTGCTTGAAATTTAACTTTTGATCTGTGTGAAAGTGTGATTCATAGGCCATCCGTTCGGTTTTTAACTTTCTAAAAATATGTGCGGCCGTCAATGACTTGCAACCTTTAATTTGGCCCGCGAGCGACAAAAGGTTGTCGTAGCCATAGGGTTTTAGAAGAGCGGGATTTATTACTGTTTCTGCAATGCATTTCCTATGGAGCATAACGCATCAATTGTGGGTGGAGTCATGCTAACGAGGCCAAAGTTTTTTGACGAACAGTTCAGATTCACTAAATACTCTTTCTGTTTCAACAGAAGCAGCAATAACAACAAAATAAACAAGAGAGCCAAGCTCAAATCAAAGTGACTATAACACTTTTATAGTCACTTTGTCTCAAATGTAAGGACACGTCACAGGGTGTCGCTATTTTTTTATTCTGACACATAAATAACGAATTTCTTGAAGTCCACAGAAATTTTTTAAAAATTAATTGAAAGTGATAACCTTCTGGCGAAAAAATCAATCTTTAACATGACGAAGGAGAAGAAAAACAAGAACAATAACATAATATTGAAACGATCGTTATGTCGACTGACGTGTCCAAATACGATCAATGGACTTTTCCCCGACCTTTAACCCCCGGGAAATTTTTCCTATACCATTGTAAAATTTTCGGTGCTTATTTTGAGAATAGTTTTGCGAGTTGGCGCCTGTAAAATGGGGTATTTGTTTCAAACCATCATTCTGATTCATAGCATTAAATAATCTGTTCTTTAAAAGTACCGTTAATTTTTTTAGCCTAGTCTATCAAAGCTATTTCTACTAGAGATGTATCGGTATAGGCAATGTCGGCCAAATTTTCGGTATCGGTAGTGTACCGGTATCGGCTAAATGAAGACCGATATTTCCGATATATTGACCTTTTTTATATGATCAAGAATGTTTCAAAAAAATCAGTTTGAATGATGATATTTAAATTATTTTTTGCTTTGAGGGATCGTGAGCTATGAGCCATGCACGTCCCCACCCCCGCGATTAGAAACGGGAATAGGATTCTGACCTGTTTTTAGCTATCTATCAGTCAAACGCTCAACTAATTTGGGTATTTTCGCTGCCAAATTTTTATATTGATAATTTTATTTTAATAAAAATAGTAATTGTGAATATATCATTCAAATATTAGTGGATTTTCTAATGTGTTAAATGTAAAATATGTCGGTATGTTGGCACAAAATCTCGCGCACGTATCAATTTGATAAGAAAAGTAGGCTAAACATTCATTTATTTTACCACCCTGGTAGCCAAACCTTATGAGCAGAGATGGCCACAACCATTGACTATTTCGAATACTTTCTAAAAAATATTTTCGATACTGAATGTCCGAATACAGTATATATAATAAGAATTACAGTATTTATACTTGGGAATTGGGGTGTTTACTGACAAGCAAAAAAATGGAGCAACTCGGCTCCCAGTTATAAATCATACAGTAGAATCAAAGTCTTCATCAACAGCACACGCACTTTTTGGCACGATTATAAATTCTGAATGTTCATCGTCCAGCGCGAGTGTATTTTAGTCCATCGATATCGTAAGTATTAAATATTGTGATCCCATTAATTTTAATTCTTCCACTACAAAATTTCCTGGTAGATTTATTGCCGTGGCCGCCCACACTATCTCGAAATATCAGATAATAATTGCAAAATACTATAAAATATTAAAATCAAAAACATCGTCGACGTGTTCTTGGTATTTCTTGTCGGCGTTGATTGAAGTCTTTTAATGTCGGTAATGCAATTTATTGCGACACACGATTACGATAAAACACTGAACAAAATATATTTGAAATGTTTTCAATCAAAACGTGGACGGCGGCGCTAAGAAGGTCGCGATACTAATATTAAATTCAAATTGGACATCCCTGCCTACGAGTTTTCTAATTGAACACCGATGTTACTAGCGTCAGTGCACATACACTGACGCCATGTGTATATCCCTTTTTCAATCTGGAATAAAGTGTAGTATGAATAATGCTCAAAGACCATTGTTTTTAACCCGTCTGCCCTGCACACTTGATGTGATAAATACATAGTATCGGAATATTGGTATCGGAATAACGGCAATATCGGCATTTTCTAATATCAGTATCGGCGTTTTTGGTCGGTATCGGCGACAAAACTGATATCGGTACATCTCTAATTTTTACACTACTTTTTGATTACTGCAATTAAACTGAAACTTCTAGAAAGACAAAGTGATCATTGAATTATTTGATTTATATTTAAATGTCCGAAACACAGCTCAAAGCTAACGAATATAATTAAAAAATGCGAAAACGAGGCATTGTTTACGACCACGCTTTAAAATCTGTGCAAGTGAGAAAAGTGTCTGAGCGGATGCATTGTTACGTCACTTTTTGCATCTTGCTGATTGGCCAATGTCACAAAGTAAACAAAGAAGTCGATGCTTGGGGAAACATTCTTAGGTTCATTTCGTGTCCAATAATCACATTGCTTTTGCGTTGTTGGTATGTGATAGTGAAGTTCACTCCATTTTACAGCATTTTAAGAATTGCTAAAATATAGGCAAAAGTGTGAGAATAAAAGTTTTATTAAATTCTCTAGGAAATGTCAGCTGCCACTTAATTAACTAAAAATATCAAAAACAAAAATGAGCATATGCAGTATTTGTGCTTATTTATTATCCGGCTAGCCGTCACAAAATATCCGGACATTAGATAGTGAAGGACCTGTCGTTAGACCAGTTGGTTACCCAGATAATCGAACATTCCCACATCACATTCGGAGAGAATCAAAAAATCGCATTTCGTAATGAAATTATTCAGAAAAATATTTTTACATATTGTTACATCTCTAATGGCACTGAATTGACTAGTGTTATGGCTAGCTGTGAGGCAACTAGCAAAGTTGAATGATGTGCTTGGTAGTCTAAATTAGTATCTGGCTTTCTATCTTTTTGGTCGGGAATATATGCTAACAATATAGGCATCATAAAAAACTAAGAACCGAATGCGGATTCTAATAGCCAGAGCAGGCTATGTCTTATAACTATGTGTTTGCACGATGAAAGTGTTTATTTTGTATTGCACAGTTTACCTATTCTTGGCACTATTGTGGCCCGCGAACAATGCAAAAATAATTTTGTGGCCCGCGGAGCCGACCATGTTGATATTCTAGATCTAGACCACCCTGATATTCTAGACTTTGGGTCAAAATATTTTTTCAAATTGGTTAATTTTAACTTTTGGTTTGATACAATCATCATAAATTTATTAATATGGTGTGGCAAGTAATTTTTATTTATTTATTTTTTATTAACTACCAGTATGTAATATTTCATGTTCCCTTTACTTAATAACTTCCATATGGTTGTGTGTGTGGGTGCGTGTGTGAAATATTTTAATTATTTTAGGTGAGTGAACACGTACCACATCTTTTTGGCAAAACCTTCCATCTTATATACATTCTGTACGTTTTAAACCTTATCTAAGGCTTTGTTCGCTCTCCTGATTTCATAATCAGTTTTTATTTATTTATTTTTACCATTCATCTTATTGTTTTGCTGATTATGGAGTCGAAATAAACTTATACTTATACTATTATTATTATACTAGTATGGTGGTTAACTTGAAAAATAATATATTCTGTTTTACCTCAGTCTATTTGGCAGTGGTCTCTCTGCAATTAACTTTGTCCAGCTAAATTTTGATGGAACTGAGTTGTGGTGCAAACGGCGTCGACCAAAAGGCTTCTCATATATGTCTTAGGGTCTGAAATGGTTGCCAAAAGCTCGCGTGCTTGGTGTAATCTGTTTTAATAAGTCAAAATAAACTAGCTGATACGAACTGAATAAATAACACCAACTAAAGTGAAGCTAGGCTTCAAGGAATCAATGTATGCCCACCTAATAATAATATAGGTTATTGAGTTTAGCTTGATTCCCATAATCAGTACACCAGGAAGATATTGACAAAATAAACACTTATTAGTCTACAGAATCAGAAGAGCCCTAACTAAGATTTGAAAAGAGCAGAAGTTAAATTAATTTAATTAAGTGATTCAAGAGTCTTGCTGCACACTAAGACTCACAGCAAGACTCTTGAATCACTTGGATAGTTATCTTTACTCTTGCTACAGCATTCTTGCATTATATGCATACCGATCCGCCGGCACAAAAGCATAGAAGAAGGATATGTAGTCAGTCTCGTAGAAACCAAATCATTAGGTAAATTAATTGTTGCTAAAACTGCAAAAGAAAGTCCTGGGCTGTGCTCACCTTAAATACACTCACATATAGCCTACAGCCGCATAGATATAGCTTAATAACTAAAGTAGAAGCGAGAAGAGAAAATCAGAATCAAAACTAAAATTAAAACCAGAAGAAAAAAATATTTGCCACAATATACTGACTTACTTGAAAATGTTTACCAGGATCGCGACGAATACTGTGAATCCACGCTCTCTTCATTTTTGGGGAAAGAGTGGAACGATAAGTCTGGTGAGTAACGGCTATCGCCATTACACAACGGTACGCAGCAATGCAATTTGGAACCACCAGACGCACGAGCCGCCATTGCAATCGAAAAGCCCAAACCAGTCCAACGTCGCGGGGTAGAAGAAAGTACTTTCCCGCGCATTCCCACATAAAAAAACAAAATGGCGACGCTCAGCGGCGATAATGAATACACTCCATTCCAACCCTTCAAGCTCGGACGCACCTAGTGGCTGAGTGGTGTTGTAATTCTTTACTCGGTTTACTGGACTAGATGTTCTGGCGAATCACGGTCATGGGCGACTGGAACAAAGACACCGCTAGGTAAAGAGATATCAACTAATGTTAAGGCAGGAGATAGATACCGTACCGGTGGTAATTTGTCTGTTTGTTGACCATCATACTGCCATAGGATCTATCTTATTTATGCTTTGAAGGGTCCCCAAGTTTTTCTTCCTGTCTAAAACACTGTAACATGATAATGACAGAACTGCAGGATGAGAAATATATTAGAACAATCAATCATTTTGGTCTGCTCTGTAGTATAAAACTGTTTGAAACCCCCATTTTAATGTGGATAATATAGATTTTACAAGGTCACTCATGCGGGCAACTTGTTCTGAGTTCTGGCTCTTGTGAATCAAAGTGGCTACTAGGGCAGTAGGGATGGGCAATATGGAATAATTTACTATTTCAGTAATCTAGAATACATGAATTGAGTCCAGAATACCGAATCCTATTCTATTTTTATAGTTAATGGTACGGTATTCAAATAGTCTGAATAGTGGGAATTCCTCACGGCATACTGCAGTACTGACATAGCTGGATTAAAATTAAAAAAAGCTAAATTGTAGCTTAATGTATTACTATCTACAGTATTTATTTGAGAAATGTTACGACATGACCATTGGATTTTTTTGATACCAAACAGGCATCTCTCAAGACTGCAAGACAATGAAATTTAAGAATTTTGACAATATATTTTTCGCTTTTCGAACTGTTTTAAATATATGTAACCCCTTAATAACGATATGCTAAATAAATTAAAACTCACATTTTATACATTAATAAAAGTAAACGTTGGGACACAAAAATAGATATCGAACAACATTAAATAAATATTCATTTGAAAGTGCCGAGTGTACCAAAACATACTCGCTGAGAAATAATTAGACTGTAAGCTATTCGTCCGCATCGGGCACTGCACTTTGTAGCGAACGTATTAATTATTGGTATACAACCACTATCAATTACAATCAAGTATGAGCCAGTCTGTTTATTCTGTGTAAGCAAGACTCTTAAAATATAGTTGCCATAGTCATGATTGTGTACTAAGAATTATTTTTTATTACAGAATCTTGATTTGTTGGTATTATCGTTATATATTTACTAGGCATGTCCTTATCTTTTTCGTTTAGCGATGTATTCGAATAGTTTTCTCCGATTTTGGTTAATCGTAATTTAGAGAGGGTGCAAAAATTGCGAAGGCCACCGCTCAATTTTTTTTGTTACGTTGTGTAGTTCGGAATCCCCGTGCAACGGCTTTTGAAACAGTCGCCGCGAACATGCCACTCAAAACAGGCCGAGTTTTTAGAGGATAACGATTTTCCTGTTGCTCAAAACATTCAATGACGTGTCGATTTTCATTTTCAGAGCTCAGACTCTGTGAAAAATCATTTCATGTAAGAAAGCATTCTGTGCTTCTCAAAATTTGATTAAAAAAATCGCAGCAAGTCACCAATTGCCATCAATAATTGATTGTAAATAGTCATTTTGACCATTTCTATCCTCGGCTTTACGCTCCCTATTTTAAAATCAATTTCATGCCCATTTCAGACTCTTAATGAGATAGCCATTTTAGTAGAGACAATATGGGACATAGCTAGGTTAGCCATCGTCGGTTTATACTGAAACGATGTCTCGGTTGGATTAATTTTTTTTATAGAAGAAGTCATCCATAATTTGTGTTACTGACATAATTTTTATCCACTTATAACAGGTTGCTACTGTCATTGTTAATTATATGAGTTAGTAAAATAAAAGGATTAAAACTCGAGGAGTTAAGGATAAAACATAACTGCAATGATTAATATTTGTTTCTTCGAAAAACATATTATTTAATTCTATGTGATCAACATATCAATGAAAATAATCAATTCAAAGTAATCAATATGTTTAATTAGCTACATACCCATTGCACTTCTGATGAAAGCCAAGTAGTATTGAACTAAAATCAATATCTCATACCCATCTCTGGGTATGTAGACTATGCACTGTACAATTTTGACATTTATTAAAGCCTAACTCTTGTTGATGTCTATCATGACCTTACTTTCCACAGTTTAGTGATTGTGATGAAAGACTGAAAGAGTTATTTGTCACCATTTACTGTAATGTGTCACCGTCCCTACAATGTGTATTTTGTAATTTAAAATAACATTTGCAAGGGTATGGTATATTCATTACTTATCGATCTTAAGATCGGTAAGTATGTTGATACGTATTTGTCTGTCTGTGTGTTTGTCTGTCTGTCTGTTAGATGCATGCGCTATCTCACGAAAGCGAGGTTCAATCTGCCCCAAATTTTGCATGTACATTCACCATAGCTCGAACCAAAAGCCTATTGATTTTGGATGAATTATGTCGTATAATTAGCGAGTTATTAACTACCGGTAATTAGTGATGAAGGAATCTGGATTTTTGCAAATCGAGAGAACGATTTTTACAAAGCGAGAGATTTTTGAAACACGCTGAATGTGTGTGTGTGCGATGCGCAAGTTTTCATGCTAGTGAGTCAGAGCAAAATATACACACCGCTAGATCGTATCTCGTGATTAATCTTTAAGCATTGTTCATATCCCTCTTGTAACTTTGACGTCGTCGCGATGCGCAAGTTTCCTTCAAGAAATTTTCCTCGCTATTGAGCCAGAGCGAAGGATACACGCCGCGAGATCGTACCTCGTTACTTATAATTACTCTTTAAGCAATGTCCATATCCCTCTATCGTCTATCAGGTTCGGGGTTGCAGAATTCCTCACCAAAATATCGCTAGGCTGTGTTTGGATAGCCTTCTCAACCTGGGTTAGCGCCGTTATATTTGACACCAAATATAGGATTGGTAAATAGGCTATTGGCTGGAAACCAATCGAAACAATCCAGTTCGGATTTGCAGAATTCTTCATAAAAGTATTTCCTCGAGTAGTATTTCGACAACGACGTGGGGAGTTGGCTATTGTTTCTTATATTTTTAAGATTGACTGAAAACTAATCGAAACAATCCAGTTCGCGTTTGCAGAGTTTCTCGAATTGAAACCGCAGTTTCTTTTTTGGGAGATTCCCTAACTTTCGATCGATAAGTCTTCGGTCTCTGACCGATATTCCCGTCTTTCTTTTATTCTCTATTCCTGGGTAAATAACGGATATAATGCTAACATACTGGCATGAAGCATAATATTGAATAATGTACTCCAATAAAACAGCTTCTGTGTCATTTGTATAAATAATTTAGATTGTAATAGATGGATTCGCTTTTATCACCATCATTTCAGTACTGACATGGGCAAACTATGGCCGGTTGGCCAAATCCGGCCTGTTGTTTGATCCAATCTGGCCTGCCTGATGCTGCCACGACCAAACTAAGATCAAATTTGGATGTTTTAGCTAAAAATAACTCAAGAAATTTGTTGAGATTTAAATCAAATTTAGTTTTGGCTCGAGGCTTATTGTTGTCCACTTTTGCTTTTGTAACACTGTAAATGTTGTTCTTTAAATGTAACATTTTACGTTACACTTACTACATGGCCCGCCAGTGGACGACTGGCTCCCGTTCCAAAAACCATGCCCACCCTCGTTTCAGAACATGTGGGAATATCTGCTTTCGCATATTCAGGAATTATATTAGGATATAATACATTCTGTCCAACAAATAGAGGAATTTGTTTCCATATTATAATTTTTATGTTTTATTTAATCTATATTTATTCACAGTCGTGAATATTTTTGCACCAACTAATTCAGTTGAAATTGTGAGTGATTCGGTTAGATAGGAAATCTTCACAATGGCAGGACAAAGTATTGGGGATCGTATTACTGCTGCTCAACACACCATCATTGGATCAGATATGTCCAAGAGTGTATGCAAAGCAACAACACATGAAATAATGGGACCAAAGAAAAAGCATCTCGATTGTAAGTACCATGTCGCCTAGAATTGAGTTGACCTTTGTGTACAGGAATTTTCTATACAAAAATTGTGTTATATTTAAGAACTTCAATAATAAATTCAATATCAGTCATATTATGTTAAATAATTTCTTCATCTTAATACCGATACACTTAGTTTTTTTGAAACCAAACTTGTGGAGAATGAAATTTCTTACTGAAAGGCGTATGTTATAAGAGATAATGGTCAAAATTCATTGTAAAACCATTACCCATCTGAGATCAGTTAATCAATTATTGACCGGTTAGATTATCAGTCCAAGTTGTGTTGCACAACACCGTTGCTTTATCTGAAACAGTGCAGAAGCAACGTTCTATTCATTTTCTTTACAGTGGTATTATAGTATTGAGAAAAAACATGTTGATAGTTTTTTCACAGTTGAAAAATAAATTCCTATGTGTTTCCCGTGTTTCTTACTTGCTCCAAAAAAATTTGGGGATATATTAAATTTGAATAAACTATGATTTGGTCTTAGTTTCCATGTGGTCCTGTGATAACTAATAGTTTCGAAATTGTCCTAAGGAAAGAAAACATATCGTTTTTACAATACAAGTCGTCGTAAACATCGACAAAGGTATTCTGGGTTAGTCTGTGTTCCTGCCATGATATAAATTATTCAGTCATCTGTCATCTTATTCTTTGTATTGTGTTACTTGTGTCAAAGAATAAATAATTTTTCTACCAAGCATTATGGAATCTTATTTGTTTCAAACTATGGATATTCAAATAGTTGGGAAGTATCCAAATTTTATAATATTTCATTGTAATATTATTTATATTCATATAATGCTTTACTAGAATTACCTATACACTTTATTTAGGAAAAATTTCACAACATAGCCTAGTTGTTAATGTGTTTCCATTCATTAGAAATGCCCTATTGACATTCATTTTTTAGTAGCGACGGTAATGGTTATGATCACCTGTATACATTATATTATTGTACTAGAATCACGTTAATGTGATTCATATGGGCTTGGCAGTATTTTCTTGTTTTGCTTAGTCATTGACAATGTTTTTTTTCAATTCAAGAGTTTCAATCAAAGTGAAACTAAAAACATTTAATAAATATAACAATTATAACACATTATATAAATAAAACAAACTAAGGTTCAATTCAAATAAATTTATGTTAGTCACACATTCTCAATTACAAGTTAAAAAATCATCATTATGCTCGAAACCATATGAATAACTAATACTTCGACTGCAATAAATATAAATGATCAACCCAAGAGACCTGATTACAAGATATGACAGTCTCTTGCTTCCTGTTGTACAAATTACTTTCACTTGTTCTCGTTCATCTGAGCTGCTTTCAAATGATCTACATGTTGTTTACATTACTACTCATCGACACTGAATGTATGATCAGTCGCAGGACATGTATTTTGAGATGTCATGAATTAGCAACAGATATTATGCTGGGTATCATGTTACCCAGGCTCAGTATTTTACCCGCCTTAGGTCTTTCTAGGTTACACCTAGTGAACTATGATACTTTGATGTCAACATACGATGGTTATATCCGGTGACTGAATGAATGTTTATTTTGATTTGATCCAATATGCATGAATAAAGACATATGACCATTAGATGGATATAAATTCGTTGGTACATTCTAGGAACTCTGCAAAATGTGTTCTGATTCATGAGGTCACTTTCACTCCAGAGATTACATTGTAAATTTTATGCATTATAAAAAGTTGATTAAGGTTTATACAACATATTGAAAACTGCACACTGTATTTTTTGCAGACCTCAATGCACTAACTCGAGAACAGAATATCAACATTCCTGAATTAGCAGATCTACTTATCGAAAGAACAAAAGTTGGAAAATGGGTTGTCGTTTTCAAAAGTTTAATCACAACACATCATTTAATGTGTTATGGCAATGAGGTGTGTATAATCTTATTTCACGAAAAAAGTTTTTATATTGCTAAAAAAAACTGTTTCTCATATATTTGAGAGCATATGAAATTATTCAATTCCCCCCTGAATTCTCATTGCAACATGATAGGCATTATCGCCACAACCTCGAAATGCCAAACCAGGATTCTATTTGAACATATTGCCCAGGAAGTAATACAATCCAACCATCGTCAACATGTACAATGCTCCGCATGTTACCACGAGTTTCGGCTTGAAAACGTGTCACTTAAAGTTTGTCTATTTCAAATTGCATTTCATGTGCAAGAAGCTCTAGAAAAAAATAAATAATTCCCTCCCAATTGTTAGCATCTGGTTGTTGCAAAATATAAACCTGTAATAGATGGTATGTATAACCCCTACCCTATAAAAGAGTCCTGATCAACTAGAATATGGTATTTACAGAATTTAAATATTCTAAAAAAAAAATTATTTTGAGTAATGGCATAATAAAAGGCTAATTAATATACTTATAATTGGATTTGAAATTTAGACATATACATCATATATAAAGCATGATAATGATAATTTTTATACTAGTTGCTGTGGTAGGCTATGCCCAACTGATTATATTCTGTTTCTTTCAAGCTTATTATCTCCATCTCATTGTGACTGCTTGTGCAATGCCTCATTTGGTTATTTTTGAGTGATTATATGAAACACCTCAAAAACAATGTAACTAACTGATAGTTTTTAATTTTTTTTCAGCGATTTATTCAACATTTGGCATCTCGCCATGCTTTATTTAATCTTGCGAATTTCATTGACAAAACAGGAGTCCAGGGTAAGTCGTTTGTGCTAATTGTGAATATTGATATACAATAATCAATAAAATATTCTCGAACCAGATTTCAAATAAATCTGAATATTAAAGTATTTTAGTAGTGGTGTATCCCAATTCCAATACATAACACTGCAACTGTGTAGGGTGTCAGTATATTTGTATGCAATTTAGATGAACCGGCAGAAGTTTTTGATGTAATATGCTTGCATTATGCGAATCATGAGATTGTGCACTGAAGATTCATTATTTACAACATTTAACGAGTGTTCTATTGACTGGTGTGCATGCATTCCCAACGCCATTACACATATATTTGAATCGGTGATCTTGGCAAAAATTTGACAATGATGAATCCTCCATACTTCATTGGGCTTAGTTTTCACATTTAGATTCCCCATTACTTGAATGGTACCAATGGTAATATTCACTTTTATAACTAAACAGTTAAATTGCACAATCATGTCAATTTGTTGGTTAGAGAAAGTGTGAAGGGATGTTAAATATGAATTTAAATAGACAATGAGATTATTCAGTAATGAAAAATTTTGAATAGTCTCCCACATTGGGAAATCACTTTTGTTACTTAATTTTAATAGCTTTTCTTGGATTTTTCCCATTAAAATATTTGTCAAAGCACAGGCTGAGAAAAATAAGAAATAAGAAAATGATAGCCATATTTTACATGACAATTTTTGTCAAATTAGGTAAACTTGTGTAACCTAGAAATATGGGGAAAAAAAAACCTAGTGGTTTTATTTCTGTTTTATGTCATCAAACATCATCATTTGTAGTTTTTAATGAGGGTAACAAATACAAAAATGTGTTTCACGGTTATTGCTTGTTTCGCTGAGATGGGTCTTTTCGAAGCTTACTATCTTTAGGGATATGGAATGTGCAGAATGTGAAATAGGTTTGTTACACCAAGCGTATACTACAGATAATCTTATCTTTTTTCCTCGGATTACACTCTGAACATGTTCGTTACCACACTGAAATACCACTAGAAATAAGTAGTAGATATGATTTGATTTGCCTGAGGGTTTATCAGTCTTTTTCGTTGATATTATAAGATGTTATTCCAAATTCCTGTTAAAATGTAATGTGTCACATTGTTTTGTATTATTGAATTTTGAATTTCTATAAATAGGTGCAAATAAAAACATGTAACATAGCTAAACAATGAGCATTGATTGACCTTGACCCTGAGGGCTGAGTAGTAAAGTGACTCATAGGGAATTTTTGTATTGTGAACTTTGAACATTCTTGATTCAATGAACTGTGATCTGGTATTAATAAAGTCAACAACTAATATGTTAGTTTAATTTTCGATTTATTTGTTGGCCTGAGGTACTGTACGATCTCATCTTCTATTCTAGGAGGATGAATTCCTACTATTTTGATGACAGTAGAATTAGTAAATCATATCTCTGGTGTTTAAACATACCTATTAAAAAATTTGCTTATATATTCGTGTTGAACCAATTGTTATAAAAACATTTTGCTTGTTTTATCATGTAAACTTGTCCCTAAATCTAAATACTGTCGCATACGCCCAACAAGGATGGTGTTTCTGTTCCAGAAACATAGTTCCAGTTAGATATGGTCACTCAGAATCATTCTGTCCTGTGTGATGATATACTCCCTAGTTTTTGCTTATTGCAAATTTTGTATCATTATTTAATTCAATTATAATTTTTTTCATTTAGGTTATGATATGTCAACATTCGTCCGAAGATATGCAAAATATCTGAATCAGAAAGGAATATCATACAGAACAGTTGCATATGATTTTACAAGGGTTAAGAGAGGGTTTGTAAAATAGCTTACTCTTATCTTTCATATTATATATAATAATGGGACTATTAAAATATTCTTTTTTTATGGTATGCTTTTGAAGATGTGATTATAAATTATTATATCTTGTTAAGACAATTCAAATACATGTTTTGGATAGTTTTTTTTTACATGGTTATTCGCCCTTTCAGACTATCCAATATATGAATATAGGGTACTCCCATAGTATGTGTACCAGGGTTAGGCCATAATTTTATTCTGATTTTCCTCATTTTAGTTCTATTGCGAGTTCAGGGACTGTCTGTGTTAGCCAAGTGAATATACCCCCTGCCCATAGGTTTCAGTCCCTTTACACAACTTGATGTAAAGTAGGCTAACAAAATTAGTTACCTTCATATTGGTACACATACTTCTGGAGCACCCATTTTAGTACTATAGTACTTTTCATCCTTGTCTATTCATGGTGTAAATGTATCATTTTTCCTAACGCCAATGTCTAGCTTTCTTTAATTGTCTTATGGTAAGAATGCTTAGTCAACTTAATGCTTTTTGAGTTTCTGTCAAAAATTTTGTTTCTGATTATCATTGTTATTAAATCTGAAATTCTGACGAAGTCTCTGGAGAATTTGAAATTTATACCTTTTAGCTCCTGAAAGTTAAATACATCAATCCTGTCAAACTCTAAATCCAGACTACCGCTGTACAGTCCTGTTTTTTAAATTTAAAAGTTTTATTCAGTCATAGCAATTCTCATTAAGAAAGTAGAGACTCTGGCAGAAGTATCATGCAACAACAACAGATTTTGTTGTTTTTTTGTTGTTTTTATGATATTGTTTTCGCCATTTAACGCTTGCATGTGTATTCTCGATTTGGTTACTCCAATCTCATACATATTTGATATCATGTATCAGTGCGCGTCAGGCATATCCCGAGGATATTAAAATAGATTTGATAAGCAGCTTCTACAAATTACAACCTTCAAAATAAGTTTAGGTCTGGGATTATTTTGCTTCTCTATTTTATATTCACAGTGTGATATTTTGTATTAGGAACTGTGTTTGATGAAAATGATATATAGCTATTGATCTTGGTAAACCGGAGATTTGATCCCTGATGTCTAAGGAGGAAAAAGATGAAAATGACTATATTATTCAGTGTTTTCCCGCAATTTGTATATATTTTCCATTCTGTCTTCTATGAAATTTTATATCTTATACCAGACAAATTGTGCTCATTGTAGCTGGACTGTATTACCTTGAAATATTTAGGCAATTTTGGGGAATCAGAACAAAGCATTGTCGATTTGAGAAAAGAAAAAAATTAAGAGTTTATCTTTGAAAAGCTTTGCTGATTCTTGTTAATAATAATCGTTTAATAAACGGCGTTTATCATAGCTATTTCAGCTTTTTGAGTTCTATATCCATATTTTTTATTTTCCAGTAAAGATAATGGGGTTTTGAGAACATTGGCAACAGAGAAGTTATTGAAGACATTGCCAACATTGCAGCTGCAGCTGGATACATTGCTGGAGTTTCAAGTAAGAAATGATCCTTATGAATAATATGGTTTTAGAAAGCACACATTTCTACTTATATTTTACAAATTTTTACAAGAAATAGGAATAGGATTTTATTGTATGGTAAAGTGAATTTGAAATTTGTTTTTCAATTGGTTTTTCTACTTTTATTGATTATTTTGAGAAAAATCAACCTTGTTACTAGTTTTTATATTAAAATATTCTAAATTGATGCTAGAATCAAATTAGCTCTATATGATTTAACCAATTTCTGGATTTATCAAAAAATATTGAATTTTGTCGTATACTAATTCATCAATTATATAGCAGGATAGTCACTTTAAACTGAAATATGAATATCAAATTACTTTATGTTATTTCATTGTGCATGAGACATGTAATAGTTTCGTTTTGAATCTTGAAAATCACTTATTACCTATCATAGATATAATTAGTGTGACAATGTAACATATTTTAAAACGAATGTGGCAATTGAATATGTCGTTTAAGTTGTTATTATTGTCCTGAGTCATGGTTCTTGTCTATTTAAACAATGATGTAATTTGTCATGACTGTTTCCTACTACACACTGACATTTCCAACTTCAAATCAAACTTATGACGTATTGTCTACCACATGCGGAAACAGAATTTCCAGTCTATTTTATGTTAATAGTGTAAATCCGGAAGGCTGATGCATATCAATAAATTTCTGTGATGTAATTTATAAAATTCTGGACTGTGATTGGACATTATTTATCATTGGCGGGAGGAGAGTAGGTGTGTCTCTTCCTTACTTGGTTAAACCATATATGGTGTTGCGAGAATTAAAGTCATTCTATTTTGTATCACTTTCTACTTATTGAAGTTTTAGTAATGAGTATCTGAGAAATTAGCTTATTATAGTTGGAATTTTCAACCCCTGGTCATCATACATCATTGCACATTTATGAATGACTTGATGTCGGAAGTGTGACCCAAATGCTGTTTTCAATTTTACTTCAATGATTGATGTTAATTTAATATCAATCCAATTGAATTGTACTATTGGCGAGCTGGTTTATTCTAAATCTTTGGTTGATCTTGAAATGCATGTTAATAAATCTATTTTTTTAATATCACATTGAACAATGAATATAGTGATTCAACAATGCTGGTGGGTTTACAGTCTTTGATCACACTAACAATTTCATTTCTGATGATCTGATAGAACAGGGGTTCTCAAACTTTTGGTGTTGCGGAGCCCCTGAAAAGGTTGACCATTATTCGCGGAGCCCCGAAAGAAATGTTAAAATTGTAGCTTTCCGATAAATATTCCTGAGTAAGTTGAAAGTACTTAACTTAATTTAAAGGCTAAACCTTTTTTTAAGGGGGTTTATGCAAGTCATAAATAAATCAAAATTTCAAAGATAAATTATATATACTCTTACTAAAGCTGTAAATTTGACACTTGACAAACATATTAATAAACTAGGGGTCGATATCTTGCTTTATAATAATCTCGAGTGCAAAAGAACAAATCAAGTTTGACAAATTCCAAGATCGCAAAAATATGACTCCAATTTATTCATAGGTGGCAGTTTATCACGTATTTTATGTTATTTTAGAATAGTATTCCTTCATTTTAGTAATCCTAATAGTAATCTCGAATGAAACTTGAGTAACTATGAGTACAATTGAATTATTACGACGAGACACTTTAAATGCTCGCATCGGCCATACATTGAATATTTTACGCAACAGAAATCTCGTTATCCGTTTTTTATAATCGCAAAGAATGTTGCGCGGAAATTTCCGATTCAAATCCCCACCTCTTGAAAATCCTGGCTGCGCTCCAGCTTATAAATAATGTCATTTTTCGATTCCGCCTCTTTGCCATATTTCGAGGTTATAATGTTGTCAAATTTTATCAAGGCTGTTATTGTTTCTTTGAACAGTTACAGAACTAGTCATTATTTTAAAAAGTAATCGGATAGCTCACGGAGCCCCTAGGTTTCTCTCGCGGAGCCCTGGGGCTCCGTACGGAGCACTTTGAGAACCTATGTGATAGAATATTATCAGTGGTTTAAATTTTAGTCTTGGTAGTTTGCCTATGTGTGAAATGTTGAAGGACTCTTCAACCAGTGTCATTCTCATTAAAGTGATTAATATGATCATTAGTAGGTGATTTATGTTGACGACATAATCAATTTTATGTATTGAATGTCAAATTAGGCTTCACCTAATTGGTAATATTATTTGTGATTGATTATAACAAACAACTTTGTAAAACAGTTTGCATCTATGCAGAGTATTATCTGTTATTGGCTCTTATTTGTCAAAAATGTATATGCTTTCATAAATTACGTTGTGGCTAAATGCTGGCCGATTAAAAACAAACACTGGCAATTTGGAATTAATATCCAGAAAAACATACCCTTCAAATTCCTCTATTTCCAAGCACCTTATAAATATTATAATTCTGAAAAATTGCTTGATGTATTAGAACAGTGGTATGGTTGTGGTCATTTATTAAACCATTCGGGGCAATGGTGCATTATTTGAACAATCTCTTGTGATGTTATTCATTGCAATCCATGCATTGATAAATATGTATAAAGCTTGGTATTTTATATTCTATAGTAACGTGATTTGCTCAACATATTTTATTAATGATTAATCTCTAATATGATCATATTCTACAAACTGCTACTATTCTCTGTAAGATGGATAATGTAGGATTACTTTATTAAAACTTAAGATGAGATGAGCTGAACAATCGATAATAGTTCAGCTGTTTCAACTTTTAAATTCACGAACAAGGATGCTTGTATAACTCAAAATTTAATATTATTGAATTTGACAAAAAGGTACTCCCGTAGTATGTGTACCGGGTTAGGGTTAGACAATAATTTTATTCTGATTTTCCTTATTTTATTTCTATTATAGGTTCGAGGACTGTCTGTGTTAGCCAAGTGAATATAACCCCTGCCCATAGGTTTCAGCCTCTTTACACAACTTGATGTGAAATAGGCGAACAAAATTAGTTACCTCCATATTGGTACACATACTTCTGGAGCGCTGACAAAAATTGTGTTGTTTACATAAATTTTTTATAATAAAAAAAAACTTATCTTGTACCCTGAACAGTGCCCTGCGAGATTCAAACATAAAAATGTCATGCAGCCATACCAATCAGTTATGGTTGAAATGGCATACAAATAATGAATAAAACAAATTCACCGTATTTATGATTTGTACAATATTTAGTAAATCCATGAAGAAATTTATATAGGCCTAATTGCTCACTGAAGTTGTTTTGGGTCGGTTTAGTGCAACAAAATGTTGAAATTTTCTCAGCGAAATGTAACATGTCATTCTCATTCAACCTCGTTTGACATTACCAAGGCAATTACCATGCATAGTTTTTGATTGACTATTGATTAAAAACGGCCTACAAGGTGAGATTTATTCGTGAGCATGCCCGGCGCAGATAGGTTTCTCTTTTTGTGTGATCGCAAGTACATGTCAAAAAACATAACACTATCGCATTGAAATTCTCTTCAGATGACCGTCCTTTTATCCACTTGATTTTATTGATTTCATCCAAAAGTAAATCCATTTCATATAATGATGAAATAGATAGTATAGATTATTTTCCATGCTTGTAATAAAAATTAATTGGTTGCAAAGGTAGTGTGTTCGTGGAATTTTGTCCAATTAATTTTATTGACAGAAATATTCTGAACTTGGTTTTTCTGCTTTTTCGACGTTCTTTTTTCAACCTTTTTTTAGTAAAAGCAATTCACTATTTCCCCACATACAGTTCATTTAATCCCTTCACGTTTCAGGCGAGTGCAAATGAATTAACCAACGGGGTAGTGAATAGTGCTTTCATGCTGCTCTTTAAGGACTTAATCCGGTTATTTGCTTGTTACAACGATGGAATTATCAATTTGTTGGGTAAGCATACCAAAAAAAGGTGTTCCAAAGCATTCTTAGAAAAAATTTTTAAAAATGTAAAGTTTGAACTCTATTGACTTTTAATAGAACCTGAATATGATTGTTGTTTTTAGTTATTTTTATTCCTGAATTAGAGCATCAAGTAAACTTGTGTTAGGCATAATGATGATGATTAAATGTTTTATTCATTTTTGCCATTTATTATTAACAGAAAAATACTTTGATATGAAGAAGCATCATTGCAAAGAAGCGCTTGATCTTTACAAAAAGTTTTTGACAAGAATGGAAAAGGTTTCGGAATTTCTTAAGGTTGCAGAACAAGTAGGAATTGATAAAGGTGACATTCCAGATCTTACACAGGTCAGTTCAACAAAATCCAAATACATCTTTCTGACTGTTCAAATCAGTCGAAATGAGCAACTTTTCATTTTTATTTTCAAGAATGTTAATAATTGCATTTTATCAAATTGTAGGCTCCCAACAGTCTATTAGATGCGTTAGAGCAACATTACGCAACACTTGACGGAAAAAAGGGAAATGCTACATCAAAGTGAGTATCACATTAAATGTTGAAAGTGTTTCTTTTATAATGATGTAATGATAAAATTGTAATGTTTCGATAAATTTGTTGACCATGTGTAATTTCAAACTCTTACTGCTACATCATATTGTATGCTATTTGAATACTACAGTATATCACTATACATAGGCCTACTCATTTTCAGTATTCTCATCATGCAGAAAAAAGTAGTATATAGAAAAAAAAATGGAATGAAATTTTTTTGAAAGCTTACATGTTCAAAATTATTGTAACACCCAGTAGTTCCTTGCTGATTAATCTTCTATGTATCTACTTAGAAAACATTTGAAAAGATTGAACAAAAATCATTCCTTTTAAGAAAACTTATTTTTTGGATCAAAAACATTGTTGATCTCAAGTTATTCAAGAATTTTCTATTCTCTTCTCTATTTGACATTATTCATCGAACAAAAGATCTTCATTACTGAAGCTTATGGTTTATTGATTTTGTAAACATTATGTTTTGTGGAAGATTACTAATGATTTATAATCCACTTGTTCAGAGTTGTAACGTACTTGTGAATTGCAATATTTTGGCTGTTGTGTGAAATAATGATTTGGGCCCAGCACTCAAGTTACATTCATGAACTTGTTTGGTCGAAATTGAAGGACATGGGTTCAATACTTTATTTACGTCTTTATGCAAACTGAAAAACTAATAAAAATTTGATCAAAAAATTTATAGGTTGGTCAAATACCACAAATTCCAGATCATAAGTTCACTTTTAACCCTTCCTGGATTTAGTATCCCACTATATAAATCTGTTGTTGAGTGTTATTAAACTAATTTAATTTGAGCAATTGAGTGTTAGACCTGTATAATGTGTTTCAGACCTTCAACTGCTACTTCTGCTCAAGTGAAAGCATTTTCTGCTGTTAGTTCTTCATTTGATGAAAAAGACAAAGAGGTAATATATGAATAAGCTGCATGAAATCATACTCGCTTGATTCATTGATATCCAACGAACTTTCGAACTATTGGAAAGTGGTATTCCTAGATTCGTATTTTAGCTTCATTTTGTGCATCCTTAGTTAATTGCTTTTTTATTATTTTGTATAATATAATGGGTAGATTAGTAGTAACCTTAGTAGTAATTGCATTTCTATCATATCAGTCATTCACTGTTGTTTCATGTTCCAATATCCTGCTGTAAATGAAAATAGATTTTCCATTATTTAGATATCTATATTATATTTGACGTTTTCCATTCCTCTTTGATAGTTTGAGGAGCGAAAGTTGACAAACCATTTGATAGCTTTATAATTATATACTAAATATTTGATTCATTCTGAAACTAGCTTCATGTGAAATTTTGGGAAATTATTTGCTTTTTGTAAATTGTTTATCCGAGATAAATTATGATGACTCATCTCATGTTGTTACTCATTGAATCATGAAAATTTCAGACACAAAACAAAAATGGTAATCTGCTTCTATTGTAGGATTGACTATTAATATCCCTCGTTCATGAATTAAGTTATTAATGCTGAAAATAAAATTGAATCTCAGTAAATGTTTACATAACAAAGAGATAAATTTTCATTGCAAAGTATGTCGCCACGCAAACAGAAATAACTCTGTTGTATTTTTGTTTTAATGATGATTTCTTTTGCTTTTTCATTTCCAGTAGAGCATGCATTTTACGTAGTTGATAGATCAGAGTGAATTTTTGCTTACTTAGGAACAAGTATGTTATCTGTGCTTCTGGTTGCATCTTGATTTTTTAGCATTCTTTGTCTTATTTTTGCAACAAATCAATATAATTTTGGCATCAGGCCAGCTTACTCGAAGAAGAAGAACAACTGAGAATGTTTAAACAAAGAACTCAAGAGGCACAGCAACAACAAGAGCAATTCAAGCCAACAACAAATGGCACAGTTGCACCACCTGCCACAACCCAACAGGTTGAAACTACATGAGAAAATGATTATATTTTTTATCCACCTTCTCTTTCCTTCCTTTCATTTCTAATGTCCTTGTAGATAATCCTTGTTACAGTTCGATGAAAACTTAGGTAATTTGCCTTGGTTTTAGCAATTGTTGACTATGCTCAAATTGTCATTTATCTCAATTTAAAATATTTTAACTTTCAACAAAATAGATGAATGCAAGGTTATAGGGCAATTATCAGTTACACATGGATATTGTAAAACTTGAAATATCTAAACTATCACAAATATGCGCAAACTCGAGGTTTCTTATCTTAACCCAAACGTTTAAAATAGTCAAAATTGATAAACTCATTTTAAAATTCCGAATTCAATTCTGTGCATCCTTTCTGTCTTTTAACAACAATTCTTATCAAACCTCAATATATGGCTGGATAAATTGATGCAATGTGTTAATATTTGCAATTTTTAGTTCTTGTTTATTAATTTCTGCAAAATGAAATTTTAGTTGACTTGATTCAAAAATCTTTTTTTTTTATATGTTTATTGCTTACCAATGCAACTCTTCTGTTTCGAGATAATTTGTTTGTTTGAACTTTATTTACCAAAATATAAATTATTAATAAATTGTGCCAAAACGAGACATCTTCCTAAAAGTTGATGCTGATAAAAACGACACTGCTAATTCAATCAAATTCTCTCAGCAGACGACATCATCCTTCAGTATTGATCTCCTGTCTACTGATACAGTCGCTTCAGCAAGTACAACCTCCAATAGCCTATTTGACCTAGATAGTTTTTCTGCTCCACCACCGCAGACACAAACATCATTATTTCCACAGCAGAATGCCTTTGGGCAAATGGATGCCGCACAGCCATTTGGAATGCAGGCACATTCACAGCCTGCTTTCACTCAGCCAGCTATGAATAATAGCCAAAGTAAGTATGTTGTCATGCTGTTAACATATACTGATATGGTTGTGCTATTGTTGGATTATGATGTAATGTGAAATCCATTTTGTCTCTTGACTTGATGTAAAAAATTATAATCTGCGAACATTGATAAATTACAGATTATACTATACCAAGTGTAATAATTGTCCACGGCAATCATTATATAATCACAATTTTTCCGGCTTATGTAAACAATGTGTCAATCATCCCTATTTACGAAAATTAAACTACCAGATTGTGCATGAAATATTCTTTATTTAGTCTAATTCAGATACATTGCTCTTTCAATTTAATAGATATATTGTGATTTTTTTCTGAATAAGCGAACAAGCAACGATCCCAATGTGACAAAACATCGCTTGTCCGATAGATGCCGCTATTTAAGAATAAAAAAATGTTGATTACCATCCATATAAAGATGGATATATTTACAATTTTGATTTTCATAATCACTGTTTATCATAATTCATAATCACCATTTATTCGCATGTGTGACATCATTATCATACTTCTTGATTAAAGAATCCTCATATTTTTGTCAAATTCAGTGTTTCCAGGAATGTCCAATTCACAGCCACCACCTATGGTTACATCTCAACCAAATCTTTTTCCAACAACAAATGCTACTACTCCATTTGATTCCAGTATGTAATTTTACTAATTTTTATTGATTAAAATTGATCTTGCATATTTTTACGTCTTTAAATTAGTGTGTATGAGAGAATCATGGATTGTACCTCCGGTTAATTCAGGAATGTCCAAGACCAATGAAGTTTTGATTTTGTGAAGGATTCAAAATTCTCCAAAAATTTTGATATTAATTTATTGGTGTCTGATATTCAGACCAATACAACCATATCTAACAATTGATAAGTGTGAAACCAATCAAACAGGCCATCTTCACTTTTCTCTTTTATAAATAATAATCTATTGTAAAATGATTTATTTAATTTCTAGGATAAGGTTGACAAATTGGAATTCATATTTGAAAATGTATTCAGAACAGTAAATTATTTGGTCTTGGCAATCATTGACATATAAATTTTTATGGAATCTCTCTTAAGTCTTCCAAAACCCAAAAGGACCAATAGTGGAATAATATTATGCATGTTAATACACATGTTGGGGTTTGGAGATAAATTCTCCCCTTACGCTGCACTGATCTTTTGGTTAGAATTAACCGCATAACAAGATATGATTCTCTGTGGCCCAAGATAGAGCCTGAATACCATAATGGAGCTGATTTTTGGATAAGATTTGACATTTTCTCTTTTTGCAAATTGGATCAATGTGGTGCCCTTCGAATGTTGCCATTGCTTCCATATTTGGTTTTCAAGAGCACTCATACTTGCTTGTTGATATTGGAAACTGCAAGTTTAGTATAAAGTATCATATAAAATTGAGAGGCACTCATAGCTGCATGTTTCATGGACTGTGTAAACGTCATACAATTCTTCAAAAATATGTTTAAAATAATATAACATATCGATTTTTGTGTTAGGAATTACTTATTATGGATGCATTTTAAAACATAATTACGCTTCAAAGTGTGGGACAGCTAATTGAATAGTGGGAATATTCACATAATTATATTCACCTACATGCACTTATTTTACTTTTCTTACATATTTTCAGGTAATGCATTGCCATTCCAGGGTGATTTGTTGACACCAACAGTGTTTGGTCAACAAGTGCAGGCTGCACCTATTACAATGAATTCAACTTCTAATCAACATCCGCAACCTGTAGGAAGTGATCTTGATTCTTCTCTCGCAAATGTTGTTGCTAATTTGAACGTTGGTGGAATGAAGTTAGTGAATTTAATGTTGCTGAATATATTTGTTCAAAAATTTGTATACATACATCTCTTGTAATAATAGTGAAGCCGAAATAGGGATATTCCTGTCCAAGGTGGTCCATATATATATAATATATCCAATGGTTTGTTTCAGTTGGTAATATTCAAAATATATCTATGACATAACAGAAGACAATATAAGGTACTCCCAAAATGGCGGACACTGGAAAGTAGTATGTGTATGAGGGTTAGGCCATAATTTCAGGTACAAATACTACAGGGGTCACTTGGCTAGTCCCTGAACTTGTAATAGAACTAAAAATACGGAAAATTGGGAAAAAATTATGGCCTAACCCTAACCTGGTACACATACTACGTTCCAGTGTCCGCCACCTTGGTTCACATACTTCGGGAGTACCTAATATAATGTATTTGCCTTCAAAAGATAGGTGCAATAGTTAAGATTCTCAAACAAATCTTGCTTGTAATTTCTACTAAACTAAATGTGTTAGAAATGTTTGTAACTGTAATGGCCAACATTTTTGATCATTGTTTCAATATTTTATAATTTTGCTTGCCGAGACCCACCTGAGGTAGGAACCGAAAAATATATGCGCTTTTATATATATAATTCTCAAAATTAAAGGTCAAACATTTTTTTGTCATCCTGGTTTGATTTTCATTTCCAGGGCAAATCAAAACTTCCAGCCAAAGTCAGAGAGGAAACTCACTGGAGGGATGAATTTTCAACCACAATTAACTAATACATCGACGATGCCACCAGCGATGCAAATGCCAGGCACTGCACCAGCGATGATGCCACAGATGACAATGCAAATGAATTATAATCAACCAATGGTCAGTGAATATTCAGCAAAATTTATTTGTTAGGGTTTGTTTTTAATGATTTCTCATAACTGAATTTTTTTTTTGATTTTTTTTGTCCTGATTCAATAACCTAGTTGAGTATTATTTTTCAACATGTTACCATTGTAACGCAGATGGGTATGCAGCCTATGATGCAACCAAATATGTACGGGCAACATATGGGAATGCAACAACAAATGAATATGAGACAACTGAATCCTAATAATCCGTTTGGACCAATGGTGAGTAGAGCATCATAATATCGAAAAACATAGCAAGGCTCATGCTTGCGAAAGATTTTTTTTTTCCGATAGCTCTTCATGTGTAATGCGCCATTAGCTTCCTCTAATTAATTCAAGTTCTGGCATGACTAACTTTACAATTTAGCAAAGTATAAAAAAAAGGAATTTCACAATCTTTAAAACTATGCCACTATTTATCTGAAAAAGGTAAACTGCATGTGCACTGTATTTTCGACATGGTCTAAATATTTTTTTTCTTAATTCCGGGAATTTGATAAGATTTTAATATTGTGAATTGTAGCATTTCTGTAATAAATGAAATGGTGATTTTGCTTACAGTAACATTACTGAACATGATAACAAAATATCGTCTTGGAAAGGTTAGTTTATTTCTAAGACTGCATGCAATTTTTGAATGCCAGCAGTATGCATTATTCTTTTGACTAATCACTAACAACTTGCATATTTGCGATATTTAAAAAAATTGCATCATTGCATATGCATGATCATACTTGATTACAATTTATTTCTAGTTTAATTCTTCCTCTATTCTGCATCACACAGGCAGAAACAGCAATTAGGAAATTAGAACCATCAATCAACCCCCCTTTTTTAATTTTTCTCAATTATTTTTAATTTCACAGTGTTGATTTTATAATTTCTTCAATCTAACGTTTGCTGTGTGCATGTGCTTTCTTTTTTCACGCTTACCACGAAACTTCAATAAGGATTCTTCAAAATCATCTTCAACTACTGACACAACATCTTCGGGGCCATCACATACAAGTTTAGACGATTTATGCAAAGGACTGTTCTAACACTTTTTGTTGACAAAAAACTGCCTGGACTAAATTATATAATCTGAATGTTAGAATATACAAATAATTTTAAAGAAGCAAATTTCATCGACTTGTTATTTTCACAAAGTCTAACAAATGTCTGAAGATTCAAAAAAACTATCTATGAAATTCTTACTAGTGATATTCGCAAAAATGGTTTCTGATTCACTTTTTATTAGTAATTAGTTATTAGATTAATAATTGGATCGCGTAATTGGCATGTTGTTGTAATAAAGTCTTAACTTTAACATCCAGCTTTATAGCAAGCCATCGCTGTTGCTTCATCTAGTAAGTAACTCAGTGCTATTATTTCAAATTGCCTGCATGTATACAAAGTATTGAATTTTCTTACTTTTTTGCTTCTACATAATTTGAATATTTTAAATACCACGCTTGTTCTCAACATGATTTTGATGATTAGCGTTTTGAAGTATGGTGCTAATTTAGGTATTGGAACAAGCATGCCAACTCAAAGGGGTGTAATGTCGTAACAACACAGAGCTTTCCATTGGTATGGGTGTGAGCGAATCAGTCATAAAACTTTTTTCTTTGCTACTTGGTGTGCATGAACTCCAAACTAGCTTTTGACACCTCTATTTCGATAATCCTGTTTTTTTTTTCTTCATTTACTCGCACATTTTGTTTGCTCTGTCAAATTATGTATTTGGAATGTACTTGGCTTCACACTTCTTTAATTTCCTCAAGCAATTAAATATCAAGTATTTATGATAAAGAAGTAAAGTAGCATTGAAATCTACTTTGGCTGCTACCTGATGACAAGAATCATAGTCATTGAATATCAATAACATGATTTGAGTTTCTTGATTAAATTATATTAAGCAAACCTCTATACTTTTGTATTTGCAGATTAATTTCTAATGATATTCAACTGAGAGATGGCGCTGTTGTGAGCTTTATCGTGCTTCGTTAAAACATTTCTTTCTAATAATTTTATGATCCTGTTTATATTATCATATACCAGTGATACCTTTTAACTGCTTAGTAATGTTGAAATGGCACATAAGTCAATAAGTGTGTTTTCCCAACAAACAAACTGAGATATTTGTTTTTAACAACATATTCCTCACCCACATATAATTTGATAATGCTGTTTCCTGTCTTTTTAATACATGACAGGTTACAAATGCCTACGATTTTGTTTTATATGGCCATCCAACAGTAGCTGAATTGGCAAATTTTTAGACTGTTGCTATTAGCCTAGAAACTACATCCCAGGACCAAGAAATTATTTCTAAGTTGATCTGTTTGGTGCAAATCTGATAATATATATACATACATTGAAAATTTGAAATATTTCTGTTTTTTTTGTAATTAGGTCTTTCATAAGTTGTGAGGATGATATGGCCATGATAACCGAAAGCCTTTCAACAACCATTTAAAATATGATGAGTTTTTGAAGTTAATTTTACCTGTCTGATATTTAAATATTTGTCAGCAGTGAGAGTATCCTATTTATACTCTTTATACCAAAACACTGAATTTGAATCGAATCACAATTTGATGAAGAATAGGCATTTCGATTACTGATTAACTGTGTAAATAGCATTGGTTGTTGAAAATTTATTTTCCAATTGAGCTCTGTCATGCTTCAGTTTAGTAGTCTATTTCATCTTGTTTCTAACAAATCTCATTTATAAGATATTGGGATGATAGAATACCTAGCCGATCATGTCAGTAAAAAAAAGCTGACCAAATGAATAGGTGCTATGACATAATATATTTATACTATATTCATCGTAATGGACATGTTATAAATATGATGAATTAATATTGTCATTTTAGTATGTATATGTATGTTCATAATAATATTGTGATAGTGGTGTGCTAAACAGTGGTAAACTTCCATTCTAGCTATCCCCCTTCTAGTAGATCATGATTCAACGCATTGACCAAGTGATTTTTGAATTGTTGTAGATGTTTTTTATTATTTGTTTATTATAGTTATTTTTGTGACATATGCTGACAGTTGGGGTAGTTCTGTATGTATATTTGTCTACTAATTTGTTTGAGCAGAATTGTATTCAATAATATTGTTTTGGTATTGATATAAGTCACTGTATAGCAATTTCTCTGTTATATAGGAGAGATTGTAAAACAGTCTAAAATTCGAAGAAATTTAGAATACCAAGATATATTATCAAAATTGGAGTTATTTTAGGGGATGATAACAATATTGAAACAGGTTTGATACTTACTCCCTCCATGAAGTCAAATGATTTCCTCCTCAAATAATGTTACATTGTGGTAAACTAAGAAAATGCATCATTCCATATCAAGCAACAGACTAAGCAAAATTCTTATAAAGCCTAACTAAAATATATTATAATTTTGCATTGTATATATTTCTATTCTATTTTCTTTAATCTATGTCACCACAAGCACGATTGCTGTTCAGGAAAAAGGGTTATGGTTTTCATTTAAGGGTATACTAATGCCTGTACTGTATTCTCCATAAATGGGAGCAGCAGGTTATCGACAATCGATATGTTTTCATACCAGGAAAATTTTAACATATTAGCCATCCCTATCTCCTTTATCACGACTTCCATTGAGGCTACTTAAGAATAATATGTTGCAGTCGTTTCAATGTTCTATCCATGTATCATAAATTATTAACAATGAAAATATATTTATCAAGAATCATCAGGCATTCGATAAATTTGCTTTATGGATTGATATGTGGAGATTGTTTCAAATAACCAATAGGGCTCTTGACTTGGGGAGTATTATTGAAATTAATGAGCATTTATGAAAACTCTGGCGCGCCCAAGTTCGACTAAGAAATAGTGATGCACATCTTACCACCGAGATGCTTTGAAAACCGTTTGTCAAGTGTCCCACTGGTGGGAAGTCTATTCAATTCAATGGAATATACTGTTGAAATTTAGCAAAGAATCGGCATCATCATATAAAGCAGTGGTTCCCAACCGCCGGTGCCGGTCCGCAAGAAAATTTAGTTGTTTTGTTGTTTTCATGTCGTCTCAATCGCTTTACCCAAGGCGAGGTTGCGTTGGTTTATTACGCAAGTTCTCTTCCGCCGTCATATGCGACATCTTGGCGCCGAGTAATCACACTTTTCGCTTTTTCGGCTCCAATTCATTGCGAATGCGCTCAATGAATCTCGCAAGAATCGGAAACCTAAAAATCGGCACGCACGCTTCTTCTGTTCTGCGTGCTTTTCCTGATTAATATAACCATCCACATAAAACTTTATGCATATATCTTTGTTTGAACCCGAAAACTGTCAAGAACAGTATAATATTCCAGTAAGACATGAGCTTGTTGCAGGTGGTCAAGAGACGCGCAAAAAGCATGGACCGCAGAGATTTTTCCCAGTTTTTTGAGCAGGCACAGTAGAATTTTGATCCTGGTGCCAAGTTACCGACGACTTGTCATTATAATTTCAATACGTTTGAGACGTCGATCAACTACAGAAGGATAAATATGATAAACCCGATATAAAAGAAAAATCTTGATTACTATTTGTGATTCTACTTTACAGTCCAGATTTAAAAAAAGAATCACTGTCACAATTTAGAATATCTTTTGATAACGAATACCCATCGCTAAGTAATCGAGCAATCGAACTGTTGTCCATATTTTCAACCAATTACTGCGTTGTGCGAAAAAGCATTTTCATCACTAGCTTTAATTAAAACGAAGCAAAGAAATCCGGCTGCACGCCGGTGAAGAGCTACGTGTTGCAGAAACTTCTTTGAGGCCTCGTTTGCAATCCTATATTGGAAACGAAACAGCGGCAAAATTATCACTAGAGTTAATAATGTTTGTACATGATTTCGCTTGTACGTGTTGTTTATGTCAGATGTTTTATATGTGTCTTTCTTACGCATAATGGGTGCCCAACACTGCATTTCGTTACGCAAATATATGGGGTTGTTTTCTGTTTCACCCATTTCAATTTTTAACCACATTATTTGATAGTTTTTTTTCGTGTGATATATATATTTTTTTAAGTGTGCCTCTTTGTCTAGAAGCATATTGAGTGCCCGACACTCCATTATATTACGCAAATTTATGTTATGCTTTTCTGTTCCGGTCATTTCAATTTTTGCCGGTCCGCGAGTACATTTAATTTATTTCTACAGGTCCGCCAGGGTAGAAAGGTTGGGAACCACTGATATAAAGAACTGTGGGATTGAAATACTTGAATCGCACAAATCATTTTTAGGGCATGCAAATAAGAAAAGACTACGACGTCCGGTATTACCAGCGTTCACCCGTACAAGTACTAACCGATCCCGACGTTGTTCAAACTTGCGAGATCGGTTGTATTAACGTGCCTTGGTCCTAAACGACGGCGCTGATTTTTATAAAAGGGGTTGGCAGCCTGAAAGTCTTGTTGCGAGCAATGCCTTACGAACAATGGGGGCGCGTTTGGGAATTATACGTGGTCGCGTTAGGAGTGGCGCATTATCATCAATGAGGCCAGGGCGCATTGTCAACAGCGCGCTGGGAACAATGCGGGTCGCACTAGGAATGGCGCATTATCAACAATAAGGCCGCATTGTCAACAATGCGTAGTTGAACTAGGAATGGCGAATTTACCGACAATGATTGTGCATTTGGAATGGCGCAATATCCTCCATTAGGGCGCATTATCAACAATGGGAGTGCATTACAAACACTTGAGTTGGCATTCCCAATGTGGACCATCTGGAATGATGCGTTATCAATGGGGGTGCATTGGGGAAGGCGCATTGTCATCAATGCTCTCAGACTCAGACTGGTGATATGTCACTGTAGTTCGAGATTTTCTTTTTGCCATGATCGTTCGATGAAGATTTGGTGATATATATGTGGGCTGGGCATTTTCCAATAGCCTACCTGATGATTCTACAATCGAATGGAATATTTTTTCCCAATCGAATCTTGAATACATGAAAGATATTATGTTACTCTTTTATTGTGATGGGTCCTTCAGGCACAAAAATTGCAGGAATATCGAATCCATCACTTAGTCAGTTTGCTGAGTGTCACGCACAATAAAAAACGTGTTTCATCAATAACTCATTAGAAAGAAAAGTCATATGTCAGAATCCCATAGAAAAAATAAAGCTTCAATAAAAAAAATGAGTAATTTTCACCCCTATCTTTGACGACCAATTAAAATACAAGATGGAGGCGATTCGAACTGATTTGAATAATTTACTATTCGATTCTAGATGCCCAGTCCATGTTTTTATGGGGTATTTCACACATCCCAAATGAAAAAGGACAAAAATGTGTTTAGAGATTTGCTACGGGGAAGTTTTTTATCGGAAGATGGAACCGTTCTAGTACAATACCTGTATTTAATCCAATAATTCCATAAACAACGAAAAAAAATTCTGTGTCGATGCATAAAATGCATAGTCGATGTATGAGTAACTTCTCGTTCGGAGCCTTATTCAAAGGGATGTGTGAAATATCTCATAAACTGGGGCTACATACCAAAATCATACACCATTTTTTTTATCAAATGATTACGGTAAAAAGATCTCAAAGTACAGTGGCACATCAGTCCGAGTTCCAGCAAATTCGAGTACCAAGTCTAGTCGAATTACTACTGTATCTATTTGCAAGTCGAGTTGTTGACAATGCGCTATTGATAATTCGACCCCATTGTTGATAATGAGGCATTCCTAATGCGACCTCACTGAATGCGCCGATCGTCATGAGCATTTTATGCTACCAGCACTAATGATTCAAATTGGGCTTTTTATATTCAAGGGGCAATGTTCAACAGTAGAGACCGACCAAGGGTAACTTTATAAACAAAGTTCATTCAGAAAAAATTATCAAATAAATCGCATAACTGGAAATATTAGATAAATCACCTGTGTGATGTTTGCGGTGGGGACCTAGAATGGCCAAGTGCAGTTTTTTGTGGCGGTATTTCCAAACCATGGTCGCTCTGTCCAAACCCATGTCGACTGATTTTTTAGCTGCCACAAACCAATGGCGAGTAACAGCAGCAAATTGAAAACCAATGGCAGGTAAAATTTTGCTGCCGTAACCACGGCAGGTCAAAGCGTATATATAATACGGCAGGTCGGCCCTGGCCGTAAAGACAGAGCTGCACCTGATGGTGACAAATACTGAGTGAGTTGGAACACTTTTCTTATGGATACAGTTTTGCTGGATTTGGGGTTAGGTTTCAGGTTCAAGTAGATATAATTCCTAATGATAAACTACAATCTGGTACATGACTTTGTGAATATACCGTTAATAGCGCCATAAACCATGGCAAGCGCCGCCGTGAAAAGGTAAGAACTGCGACTCAGAATGGCCTTGCGAACATCTGTCTACGTGTATAACTTTACTGATTGTATCTCTACTGCTCCTGCGTAGGCATAAATATATAACAAGATGCTCATAGGCTTGATTAATTATTTTGCTCTACAAGATTTTTCGCTATGCCACGCCCAAGTCGTTTTTAGTGTTTTTACGAATAATAGCCCAAATAAGAGCGATAAAAAGAAATATTTAAAGGGGAGCGGTTGTTAATTTAAGTAAATTTGGTCTACCAAGCTCACCGTTAGCTAACTTCATTTCCGAGGTCATTCGGCAACGTTCCACCTATTATCTATTACGAAAATTCCGATACAAAAGTAAAACAGGAATATTGTGTAACAAGTAGGCTATCGTATTTATTAGAATAACGGAAACTCTGTATAACGCGATGTATTTCTTTTTGATTGAAAACTGGTATAATTTTTTTTACCTTGCCTAAGGCGCGCTTAATTTTTGATTGGAAGTTAGTACGGATTATGCGCGTTATACTCGAATAACCACGATAGGGCAAGTTGGAAACAAGCAGGAAAAGTGTTGGGGCAAACAGAAGGAGTATCAGACAAGCAATACAAGTTTGGCAAAGGCAAGGTTAATGTGGGGCAAGCTGTAAAATTGGAATACAAGCAGGACAAGCAATACAAGTGTGGTAAGAGCAAGACAAATGCGAGACAAGCACGATATCGGGGTGTAATTAACAATTATCTATTCAAATTTTTATCAGAAAAGCACCATATTATTCCAACCGGAATTAAGGCTGCATTTTAAAAATATTGTGATTGCTGAACAAAAATACTCAATTGAACGGAAATAATCAAACGACAAATAACATTACACTGATTGCAAATAAAAAAGCCTCCTACATCCGATATACCAGTCGGTCACCCATGCTAGTACTAATCTAGATCAACTTCTGAGATCAGACATGATCAAGTGTAATCAACGTGGTTTGGTCCTAGACCTAGACGACGGGGCGGATTTCTATTCGCAATATATATTCAAGGGGTAGTGTTCAACAGAGAGACCGACATAGCGTAAATTTGTAAACAACGTTATTGAAAAAAATTCTGAAAAAAATCGTATAAATGTAAATGATAAAATAAACCACCTACGTGATATTTTCTTTGGGTTTTTAAAACAATGTAAGACCTAGAATGATTTGCTCATTTTTGCAGGGTTTTTGATGAATTTGCACGTTTTAGTGATTTTCAAGTTTTTTTATGTAGGCCTACAAACAACGATTTTGATGATTTCTGACGATTTTTGCACGTTTTAGCAAGAATATTGGTGGTTTTCGACGGTTATGCAAGTTTTAGCAAGGTTATGATGGTGTTTAACGATTTTTAACCGTTTTATGAAAGGTTTTGGTGGTTTTTGCACGTATTACCAAAGCTTTTGGCAGTTTTTGACTGGTATTGCATCGAAAATACTCTAAAAAGTGCAAAAATTTTGCTAAAATGTACAAAAATCGTCAAAGGTCACCAAAATTCATGCTAAAAGGTGCAAAACCGTCAAAGGCCTTTGAAATCCTCGCCGAAGAACTCGACGTTCTATTTTTATTTTGCATCGCAGAGACTTCCGCCACTTTATCCATTTGAAACTACATGGTATCAAAACATACGAGGTTGCCCCCTTTTCCGACGCCTGACCAAATCCGCGGAAGTGACGCTAGGATGATATCCTATAATAATGCATTGGGTGATATCATTGTCATTCTTTGTATAGTGGAAAAAGCGTGAATATTTACATTTAGAACAACAGCTTATTGCAGCGGTTTTTCAAACTGTTTGTTTCTGCGGCGTCAAATTATCAGGCAAAAAAACTGCCTTCGAATAAAACTCAATTTTGTGAACGTTAATGTGTACTTTATACTTTTTAAAGTTTGTAAACACGAAGGCCTAAAGAAAAAAAGGCAATGTCAACTGATTTTCTTCAGCATCTCTGCCGGATTTTCCTTTAAAATACTAAAAAAATCACTCATGTTCTCTAAAATTGGTTAAGTAGAAAAGAAACTGCAGCTCGCAAAATAGAGGCAGATACTACGTAACAGAAAGTAAACGTCATAGGAATGTAAAATGAATTTATTGATTTATGAACACAGCATTCAAAATAAAAAACAATAAACATTTATAATAAATAGAACAATATGTACAATATTCAATCATATCATATATTAGTTTTAACACAATTCTGTTAGTTTTCGGGGCGCACTTATCAAATCGGTGGTGGCTTCGGGAACCGCTGGCATATTGAGTAGTTAGAAAGTGTTTGAATAGCTTCGCTTTAGATGTATCATGCTTGGACACGCTTCCTCGCAATTCAACACGTTCTATCAAGTTTGTATATGTTTCGCCAAGAACTGGACGTTCCCTTATTATTCTGAAGACTTTCGTCGCGGTTTTCATATAAATCCGCATGTTATCAAATCTTGAGTGGGTGTTTTTTTTCCGACGCTTGACTATAGCCGCGGATGCAATTATAGTGACGCTGAAGCATGTAAAAACCCTCAAAATCACATGCATTACAACATAAACTCAATCGCGAAATACTGTATAAAAAAATCATCTCTGGAAGATAATCCTAGGTGGATATGAGCAATTAATGGTCTATAGCAGGGGTGTGCGAACTGCTGCTCGCGGGGCAAATGCGGCTCACAAAGAAAAATTGAACGGCCCGCGCAGAAGTGCCAATTTTAAATGATCTGCCCGCGAAACAAGTTTTTAGTTTAGTTGATCTGGTACGTGCGAGCAATTCTAATGGCGTCGCAAAGCCTATACCACTACCTGAGTGCCACTGACATATTAGTAAAACTAGTTAGCAAAATCCTGTTGCAAAGTACACAATTTTAAAAATACGCGTTTCTCACTGAATTTGTTTGAAGTCCGTGTGACAATAAATTTGAATAGCAGTTTTCTTTAATAATTTATGCTCAACTTTTATAAAATAATTGTAAAATGCTTATATACGGGGCTGGGATACGTGCGCCCAATTCAGTATTCTTATTAACACGAATAACGATATGTAGGGATATGTATGTATGGAGGGATGTAAAAAATACCCTCTCCATTTTTTTAATGATAATACGATCAGACACACATGTGTGACAGTACAGACGAACCCATTGATATGATATGGTAATGTACTGTTAGCTTCCGTCGCATGAAAGCTTTGGGCTGGATAGTGCCGTCGTTATCCGTGAAAAAACTAAAACGTGAAAAACATCAAAAACCACCAAAAACCAGGCTAAAACGTGCAGAACACGATATATTGGGTTGTTATTAAAAGGAGTTTGGATAGCTCCGCTTCAGATGTATCATGCTTGGACAATGAAATTTTTCTCCACCTCTTATTTTCAGATGAGACAAGCATATAGCAATTAACCCCCAAATGTATCCCATTTCATGTTGAAATCATCAAAACAAAGTTAATTTTTCCCAAAATTCGAACAAAGACTTTCGTAGGAATTAAATGACACCAGTTTTAAAAACATAACATGTTCCACCCAGTCATTATCAAATTAAAATTTATATTCTCAAGACCTTTGGCACTGATTGAAATAATTATATCTAAGTTCCCATCCGTACGGTGTACATAGTTACCCTTATTGAGATAATAGGAGTTTCTGTTTATAACGTGAATCACGAGCTCACGTTTACAGTATTTAATAAGATTTATGATCGACGTATGAATACTACTCCGATATCTTTCGATATAGACGATGTAAACCATTCTAAGCTAGTGTGGATAAATGTTTTAAGATTTGTATTCTGTGTGTTGTGGAAATTTACGTATAAAAACATATAGAGATTTTTAACGCATCTTCATTCACGTGGGCGTTGAAGCTGAAGGGTGAATTGCAAGTCAGAGCTAATCTACAAATTAGCAATATACGGTGACATCACATTCATTTACCAATCATATATGCTATAAGCAAACGAATTCATATGAAAGGATTTTCAATACCCTGCACAGAATTGCTTTCTTATTGTAAAATTCCCCTGTTCGAATATTTTTAGGTTCGTCGCGACAATGTTAACCCTCCGCGTGATTGTAAAAGTGTGTACTTGAAAAGCCGTTTGTCGTTTTTTATTGCTTCGTGTTTTTTTCTAGTCTAAATCAAAGCATTATTACAGAAAAATGGGTTTTCTTTTACGTACCATTAGTTTCAATATTTTGCTGTCCGTCCGCGGTGTCATTTTATTTGATTTTTCCGGTGCGAGAGAACCACCCTTTCTGATACCCCCATTTCAAAATATATTAGACATCAAGCCTTCATAGAAAAACTATCGAACACAGTCAACTAAAATGTAACAGCAGTGGGCATGATTTCTTTATTTCAAAGAAAAAATCAAAACCGTCGCCAGCGGCCACAGCGAATTATTACAATAATAATATATCAGAAGAATAATGATAAGAGTGGATTAGCGGTGATAATTTTCTAAATATATTTAAAATGCTGCTGCTGCAAAGTCGTTTTGTGCTTCAGTGGCTACCATGCCATAAAGACAACATACGTTACAGTGCACATACACATTAGGCTATGCCAAGCTGAGGTTTATAGATACAACTGGAACCTTTCAAACATATAAAATTGATGGATGAACTTCAACGTATGCAATGAATGCAGCTGTACAATGTCATGGATAATTACAGTAGCTTCAATTAAAAACGCTAGTAAGTTTTAGTAATTGTACAATGAATATAGTATTCGTATTCAACATACTTTTTCAATTGACACATCAAATATACATATACCGACAATTCGATGAATCCAGACAATATGTGATGCATCATTATTGTAAGTTCTTGACATATATAAATAATTAGCATAAAATGATGAAATAGGCAGTAAGGCAGTACATTATTTGATTTATCTGATTATGATATATAAAATCATGTCAGTATATCCGCAAAGTCAAAGTCAAAATTCATGAGATACCTAAACAGCGACTCAACTTTGAATCACGCCTTCGTCAGTTTGTTTGCAGCATCATCAATAGGAATGAAAACAAGTTTTTGTTGAATAGAAGCATATCCATACAAAGGCATTGCAGCTGAGTCATACCATACAGCTTTTTGCACATACTAACTATGTATGGTTCATTGGGGAATTTTCATGGTGGAAAATAATAAAGTGAAGGTTATTGCTAGTAAGAAGAAGCCAATTCACACAGCCCACTAGAGCAAAATAACAATCTTTTAAATGGGGGGTATGTTGGTATACATTGAAAACACAGAGGCAGGCAAGAGAGAAATCTAGGGAGTTCTCATTTTCATCATTGGGCCACAGATGATTCCGTTAAGTGCCTGAGTTACAAATATATCATTCCGAAAACTTCTATATTTATGAGTAAGTTGTAAAGAATACCTTGTTTGAATAGCTATAAGCATGCTGGACCGACCATTTGGCAACTGACATTCTATACCGGTATATATGACCATGTATTTTTTTATACACGTAAAGTCTCAAGATTTTGATCATTAAATAATTAGGCTCTTCCAGATATGCAAATATGAATAATAATATACAATCAACAATTTGTCACAAAGTGCACGTTGTGCGAGTAAATGATTATTAGAAAATCATTGGCGATATAAAGCTTTAATAACATATGCAAACAAAAATTATGTAGATCCATTGGCAGGTCTGTTTGTTCTCCTTGGAGAACCTCTCCTTCCTGGAGCCTTTGGCTTCAAGAACTTTTCTTTCATTTCCGGAACAGGTGGGTGAATTTCTGTGAGAAGGTACTCCTCAGAAATTGCTTGATCTTGAAGCTCCAACCTTTTATCAAAGTTGATATTGTATGTTGATGCTAATTCATCTATGAGTGTTCCTTTGCATGAAGAATAGAGCATGCGAGCTTTTATTGGTGACTTATATCCTGGCATAGTGTAAATAAACACAATTGACGACATGTCATTTCCATCGAATTTGTGATCAAATCGATAAATATGGTAGTATGCATCATCTACAGGAGCTTCATTTTGCAACTCGCAGATAGTAAAGTTACCAGAAGATGACAAATAGATGAGTTCTTTTTCCAAATTGATCCTCAGTTGTAAATAATTCAACTCTCTTTGATTGAATTTTTCGAGGCCATTGACCAGATCTTGAGTTAGCGGAAAGCTCAAGCCCTGGGTTGTTTGATGTCGCGTCCCTACATTGATTTCAGTGGAGTTTTCAACAGCTTTTATTAACTTTTGTTCTTCCTCTGCATCTGTGAGAGGTGGAGGTTGTCGTGCAGCATGTACATGCTCATCATATCCAGACAATATAACTTCATCCTTATTTGTTCCAATCAATTCATTCAATATGAACCCCCCGCCAAACTCCATTTTTGCTGTGGCTCTAGTTCCAGCATACAACATCTTTTCGCGGACAGGGGCAGTATCTGGAGTATATGCAATAAACAACCATTGATCTTTTGTATCAAGACGATACAGCATATAGCAGGGTTGGTCTTCCTCAAGTAATGGCGTCACTGCTTCATCATACTGGTCACGCCATGAACAAGAAGACTTCATTTTAACTTTGTCAAAACATTCCAATTTCTCATTCTTAATTCCCATTTTCACCAAACGAATATCACCAGATATAGTACATTCACGAAAAACATCTTTCAATTTGTCACTAGCCTTAATACCAGTTTGATGAGACATTGTGATGCAGAATGATTAAAATCTATACGAGTCTGTAAAATTTTACAAAACATCCATTTGTGAATAACTTTCCAATTGAACAGAATTTAATATATAATAGGCCTATTTTAAAAAAGCAAATTTTCGTAGGAAATAGAATATTTTTTAACTGTAAGCTTTCAAACTACTATTGAGCAGACTTTAAAAAAAGAAACAATTTAGTTATTTACACTGGGGCTGATCTATGCTCTGCGAAAAAGTGTTTATCAAGACAAATCAATACCACTGGAGCAGTAAATTTTTGTACAATTACATTGATTTAAAAGTTATTGCCTGATTGTATGGTGTTCTGGTGTTAGTTTATTTCACTGTGTGCTTTCACTGTTTTTGGTAGTCGGACATGTACTTTATTGGGGTCTTGTGTAGTTTCGTACCTGAAGTACTTGGACTAGTGGACATAGCATAATGATTTTTGCCCATGTCAATCATAACCCTCACATGACCACGTCATCCAAATATTAGGTCACTAGTCACTACGATGTCACAATCGCGTCATAGAGCTTGCCAACGTATACCTATGGTCGCATAAAATGGCATCTGCGCCGACGATAAAGAACTCACTAACGGCATCTCTTTCATATCGGGATGGTAGCAACGAGATAATGATAGAAATATAGCTTGCTCGATTTCGGGTGATCGTCTGCAGGTCTTGGATAAGTTTGAAGGGCATCGATACCCCACTGTGGCGCCATACAGTACGGCACTTTATCCCGATTAAGGATTTGTGGCTGTATTCTGGAACACAAAAAAATACATGCACGTCTCTGAAATGAGGGCCGTCGAGTCGGCGGGAAGCTCGGCGCATGAAAACGACAGATGTCTGGGTGTACGTCACAGAAAGTCACACACAGATCGACAAGGCTCTCGAATTTTGCTAATTTGATTTTTGTTTTTCACCGATGTATACTGCCCTATATGATTACATACACATAAAGATGGTGAGTATGATTACTTATAAGTATTAGATTCTTATCCGATTCCTTAATTGTCGATTCCGAATCTCGATTCCCAGACATAGCTTACCAAGAAAAATACCGACTTGAACAATATGGTAAAATATAAAATCAAATACAAGAGCGATATTCAAATATATGCACGCGAAAGCCTAAACTAAATAGTATGGATATTCAATCTGTCACAGTAGACCAAATCACACAAACAAAAAAATATCACTCATAGCCCACGGAAATTTTTGAAATACATAAACACAATAGCCTTCTAGCCTTTACCTGTTTGCAACCAACTTTTAACCCTAGGAATCAATTCCAATGCATCAGAATCGATTCTAGTCGATTCTACTAAGAATCGATTCTGCCATCCCAACATATACGATGTATTTCTGAACCATTTTATTCAGTTCAATGTTGGTAGTGCCTATTAAAATATTGGCGTGTAAATACAAAAGTCTGTAAATAAAATAATTACTTCAGCAGTAGAAAGTAGTGACGCAATTTTTAGATGACGCAGTCAGGTGGGGGTTAGGAACGACATAAGCAAAACATAACTACACTAGACCCCTTTTGGTACATTTTTACCTTTATCGAAAGTTATGCTCGTCTTCGGGCAGTCCAGAAGTCGGGGTAGGGTGGCTTACCCACTTTGCGGCCATGACCTATCTGCGACCATCAACTTCATCGATTAAATTAATGCCGAAAAAATTAACGAACCGCGCCGATATTTCTCACGCGTTATCGTCCACTTATCCCTCGTAGCTCTACGAAATTACACTAAAATGCGGCCACAAATAAAAAAGTTACGACCGAAAACCTGACTGAAGAAAAAAAACGGACCATTTTACCATGTCGCCAACTACCCATTGTTCCTTCAAAAAAGGTTGAAAATCCATACAAATATAAGAGATAAAGAGATGAAACTTGGAAGGTGGGTAGAGTTGTGTTTCTTTTAACCATCTTTAAAGTTTCGCGTCTCTACCTTCAAAGGAGGGGGAGTAGGGGGGTGCGCATTTCCAATACGTCAATAATATCTTTGTCAACTAATTTGCGACCACCGTGTTTTTGTCTGTTTGATTGCTGTGATGCGGTGTTTGTTTATAATTTGAAGAATTTTGTTTGAAATAATCGTGTTCTTAAAATATATGACGGTCAGAAATGCAATTAGAAGTCCATTTTTTCACGCATGGCTGCGTATGCCCTAGTCTCGACGCAGCAGAAACGATGTTCAAGGCTTGAAATCCGTGGTCGCACACTGGTCGTTCGGTTGCAAATACGTCTTCAGAGTGTCGTACTTTGGTGGTTTGTATAGCTTTAACCCCTGGTCAGAGAAAGTTAATTCGAAGTTCAGCGTGTAGAATAAATGCCAATGCACCTACGGTGAAAAAATTAACGGGTTAGAAATATTGGTTTTTGTAACAACAACATAATATGTTGTTACATATTATGCTAGAGAGACAAAAGTAAAACTGATTGATAATACTACCGGCTGACCGGTATCAGAAAGTTCGGCATCACAGCATCAACATAGGCTATACTGGTACGCAAGTTTTGAAATCCAGGTTACAAATAAAACTCATGTTTCAAAAGAGAAGCGTTTAGTTGATAATACCGGTACCGGTACCGGTACCGTACTGTAATAGGGCGTACGCTGATGGTACATGATGAGATTGGTACCTAACCTGGCAAAAATCAAAATATATTGCTACTGCCTAATTTGAATAAACCACTAGCTTTATTCAACTATCGTACACCGGGATCCAGACGACCCACCGGCGCTACCGCGGGTGCGGCCAACAAATAATCAGAAGGGCGAAATCGTACCGTATCAATGGTACCATTCACCACTACTGATAAATTGTATATTACCGACCTTTGACCCAATGAATGTTTCCGCGACCTTTAACTCCAGAAAAATTTAAAGAGGACTTGCACGGGCCACTGGACGGCAAAAAAACAAAAACGTCCAGCTGGCTCCTGTCAGTTGCAAGTAGGATTATACGTTTCTGTTTGGTTTGGCTGTTGAAAATGGTTATTTCGTATTGTTCCGTTGGCTGTACGTATAGTATAGACCAGTGATTCCCAAAGTGGGTGATATCGCCCCCCGTGGGCGAAAACGATACAGAGGGGGGCGAAAAAGTCGAAGAAGGCGATAGGGGGGCGATTTCGCGAAACCTGTTTTTGCTCGGCGCATCGTGCACTTAATTCTGTACTCTGTGTGCATTCGCAGGCTTGAGTCACGTAGTCGATCATCACACGCGAAAGTATTGCTGGACTCTTCTCCGCAGTAAGGTACGGTAGTTTGTGTATCCCAGTGATCGGCAAAATACGGCCGAAGTAAAAAATCTAGCCGAGACGATTCACTGAATGGATATATTCCCGACCTTCGACCGCGGAAAATTCTTCCTATACTTTACCATTTTAAAATTTTCGGTGCTTATTTTAAGTGTGGTTTCGCGAGTTGTTGCCTGTAAAATGGGGTATTTGTTTCCAACTATCATTCTAATTCATACCATTCAACAACCTGTTTTTTAAAAGTACTGATAACGAATTTTAGCCTATATTAGCCTATCTATCACTGCTATTTCTACACCAATTTTTGATTACAGTATTTAAACTAAAACTCATAGGAAGACAAAGTAATCATTGACTTATATGATTTATATTTAAATTTCCGAAAAACAAATAAAAACTAAGGAATATAATTCAAAAACGCAAAAATCAGGAATGTCCACGACCACGCCTGAAAGTCTGTCTGAGTGAGTGTGTCTGAGCGGATGCGAAAGGGGGCATTGCTACTTTTATTTTTGCATCTTGCTGATTGGCCAATGTCACGATGTAAACAAGGAAGTCTATGCCCGGAGAAACATCCAAACGGCGGTTTTGACGGTGAATTTATTTTATTCATATTCTACGCTCGAGGAGTGAATTACATTTTTTACGTAACAGAATTTATCGTGAGACACGTTTAGACTTAATTTTATTATATCCTAATCATTCTATTGAACAGCTAGCTACTCGTTTAACGAGCCTTCAATTTAATTATAATTAGACATATGGAAACACGATGAAAAAAAAGTTGATGCTGAGAGAAGGGGTCCAACAGCGCAGTAAATATTCGAATATATTGCAATGCTATAAGAAAATAGAATTCATATTCTATTCGAGAAAAATCATCACTGCGTAATTTTTGTACGAATGTATCTTCTTAAAGAAAATCTTTATCAAAATTTCACAAACTATGCGAGAATATTCACTTAGATGTTTTAATTTGGAAATACATATTTGTGCAAACAATTATTTTCGAAAATGGAGTCATTACAAAGAACAAGCAAAGAACTGGGATTAGTGATGTCCATTTAGAAAATGTTCCAATCTTGGCGTCGTGAAGCTATCAAGCGTGATGCAACAACAAGACAGTGTCACATTAAATGTCATTGTGATAATTTTTTTAATAGGACGACTGAGTTGAGTTCACGAATTGTCGCAGTTTTCGCGCGCTGTTCCGTTTTTAACTTTTAAAAGATATATGCAACCCGCAAAAGACTAGCAACCCTAAATTTTGTCTCGCGAGCGACATAAAATTTGCCGACCCCTGGGCCGTAGTCGATAGTCGGTCACAGCTTCTTCCACATCCGAGTCCATGAATCCAAAAACAAATAGCTGATTAATTCTATAGACTGATGATCGGACTGGAGGGCGTGGTATGATGAGGAACCGGGGATGAATTTTACCGAAGTATTTTGTTGCAGGTCATTAGGCTGTAGGAATAAATGACATGTACGAAAATCATTCTTATAACTTTAAAAAAATTAACTTTATTTTCATTATTTTTATGTGAAATGGGGTGAATTTAGGGAATGAAATGCTATAAGGCAAGAATAGGCTACACGGCGGTTTTTGAGGAGGACCCTGGATTCTTTCATTTCCGACCTATTATATGGTGAAAAAGGGTTTTTGAGCCGTGCTATACTATTGCTATCAAAACAACAAAATCGCCCTTTCATCAGTAAACTGGGTAATTTCAGATATAATAAAAAAACTTGCTGAAGAACACCAAGCTCATCCATCTCATTAAAAAACACTTTAAACTATGATTTGTCTTCTTATTTGGTCTGTAATATATTCGTTTCTGACTTTACATTTTTTGTAGTGCCGGGGGGCGATGGTCAAAAATGAAATTGTATAAACTACTGTGTTTAGGGGGGCGATGGTCAAAAAAGTTTGGGAACCACTGGTATAGACAACGAAATGGATCTTCAGTTATATTCCACTGTTTCCAAAAGATCCGGAACGTCGCGCAATGTGGATATCATTTATTGCCGTATTGGCAGGACTGCTTGGTGTCAAGCCCAGAAGTCATCTTGCTTGTGTTTCACTGTTTGCGGACAGCACTTCGTTGATGGCGAGTGATAATGTGCCGTTATCAATTTCTTTAAATATTCACAAGCTCCCAGTAATAGATTACCTGCTAACTAGGAAAACAATACCTTATGACAATTGATGATTATTTCCTTACACAAGTCAAGTCTGCAAGTAGGGCTACGCCTACCAATAACAGTAGTTTGTCATCTGCTTTTCATTGAAATGAGGGAGCCAGTGATCACCCTGGTAGCCAGTGGTCACCCTGGTAGCTTCATAGGTTCCAATCCCATGCGGAGATAGTTATGTGCGAGAGGATTGCAGCTCTCCTCCCACTGAGGGTTGTTCACACGACCGCTGGTCGGTTACGACATCCCCCGCCATCAAGTCCATGCTTCTGAAAACAAATAACTGGCTAACTAATCCCGACATAGAATGATAATCGTACGAGAGACCGTGGTTCGCCATATGTTTTAGTTGTTGCACCCCCCAGTAATCGTAACATGTTGCACCTGCAATCATCCCCCAGATAAATCCCATGGTGATCAGAGATGCGGTCGCGAGCGTATTCCTAGATGGCGAATTCAATTGAAATATTTTTTTTTTGCATGAGCACTGGCGTTAAACTATAGTTATCTATTCAACTTACTAATAAATTACCTGCTAACTAGGGAAACAATACCTCATACCTTATGGTAATTGATGATTAATTCCTTACACAAGTCAAGTCTGCAAGTAGGCCTACGCCTAGGCCTAGCAATAACAGTATTTTGTCATCTGTTTTCCATTGAAAAGAGGGAGCTTAAATGAATATTTAAAGAAATTGGTAACGGCGAATTGTCTATACCAGGGTAGGCCAACCTTTTTGGTCGAAGGGCCACATGTAGTTCATTAATAGTTGAACGGGCCACTTAACATGGTAGTTATGTTCTAGTTTTGCTACACTGACTACGAGTTAATGAACAAACAAACAATACCCTCACACCAAACTTTCACAATTATTAGAATAATGAAACTGTTGTTTCCCAACCATTGATGGGGCGCCATCACTGGTTATTCCCGAAAGTTTCGCCAAAGACAAGGCAAGACACTTTATCATTTTTATCACAGCTCCCAAAAAAATCAATGCCCGGACAATGGCTGCGAGCTCTTCGGTTATTTCAAATCATCATTAACTCCCCGCAAGAAGATCGCCAAGTTGCCAACTGAGCAGTAAACTTGATGTCAGTGCTTTCGCTAATCGCCAAGGAGTACGA